GCACGGCCGCACACCGGCTGTGGCGGCTCGTATGCCCCCGGCAGTGCTGCTAGTCATCAACTTGCGTATTAGGGCCGCAGCAGACTGCTGCTGTGGCAGCAGCAGCAGCCTGCTGCTGCCTGATTCAGTCAAGCCAGCGGTGCAGCGAGGCGTGCAGAATTCGCGTGGTTTTGTCCCTCCTGAGGCTGAGCGCATTCGTCATTCGAGCCCGTCGACCGGAGTTGGATGGTACCCCGCGTCTCACTGAGACGCGGGGTACTGGCCATGGCCGGACTACGGAGCGTGAGGTGGCGAGCGGAGCGAGCGACAAAACAACGAGAAAAACACGGATCTGACGATGTCAAACGTCAGATCTGCGCCACCCAGGGCTGGACCTAGTCACCCGTGCCGTGTCGCGTGTGCCGTGATGCGCCAGCGCGTGGCGCTGGGGGATCGTGTTGCGTGCCGACGCGAGTCACTCCTGTCACTCGACACTCGTAGTCGTACGCACGTAGTAAGCCTCACACCAATCCACGCCCGCACATGCAACTGTAAACAAAACAATGTCGTCTCGCCCGCGGCGCACCCCGACGGGCGCCACCTACGGCGCTCTACGCGGCGCTCTCTGGCGTCTGGGCTTCGCGCGCCGCTGCGGTCGGCCACAAAGAATGTGAAAACCGCACCTCAGCCCTGCGTGCGGTTCCCCTTGAGCTCCGCCACCTGGTCGAGCGCGTCGCCGAGCAGCCCCTTGGCCACGCCCAGGTCGCGCAGCTGCTCCACGCCGCCGCTCGCGCGCACCTCGGCAGCGTTGTCGGCCACGTAGCGGCGGCACTGCGCGAGGAGCCGCCCGTCGCCCGTCGTGTGCGCCGCCTCGAGCAGCGGCACGGCGCTCGCCGGCCCGACGCTCTCCTGCAGCGCCTGCGCGCAGAGCAGCTCGAGGCGCGGCACCTGGTACATCTGCGCCAGCTCCCGCAGGTCGAACGCGCGCCGCGCCTGCTCGCCCTCCTCCTCGCCGAGGTCGAGCTGGTCGGTGCAGAGGTAGCGGATGAGGGCGGTGAAGGTGGCGAGGTCCGTGTTGGGCACCGTGACCTCGTCGGCGTCGCGCTCCTTCATGCCGATGCCGAACATGGTCCGAAAGAACACGGACCGAATGCAGAGCAGGTTCTTGCTCACCTTCTCGAGGCGCTCCTCGTCATCGCCGACGATGAAGGTGACCTTGCCCTCTGGGAGAGTGGCGTCGCCCCACATCTTTCCGAGGTCTGCCGCGAGGGTCGAGGGCGGCACCACAATCGGCGCGAAGGTGGGAGGCGGAGGAGGCGCCGACACGCAGACCTGGCGGAGGGAGCGCCCCGAGCAAACCAGAAGAGCGCTGCCATCGGTGCTGATGGCGACGCCGCATGGGTTGTGGAACTGCGCCGTGCCACCCACGCCGTCGGCACTGCCCGCGGTGCCGCTGCCCGCGACCGTCGTCACCGCGCCCGTCGCCACCTCGACCCGCCGGATCTTGCGGTTGCCTTCTTCAGCAACAAACAGCGCGCTGCCGTCCGGGCTGAGGGCAAGGCCGCTTGGGTAGAAGAGCTGCGCCGCGCCGCCCATGCCGTCAGCGCTGCCCACGGTGCCGCTGCCCGCCACCGTCGTCGCAGCGCCCGTCGCCACCTCCACCCGCCGGATCTTGTGGTTGCCTTGGTCCGCAACAAACAGCGCGCTGCCACCTGGGCTGATGGCGACGCCGCATGGGTAGTAGAACTGCGCCGCGCCGCCCACGCCATCAGTGCTGCCCATGGTGCCGCTGCCCGCAAGCGCGGTCACCGCTCCAGTCGCCACCTCCACCCGCCGGATCTTGTGGCCGCCAAAGTCTGTCACAAACAGCGCGCTTCCGTCAGGGCTGATGACGACGCCGTGTGGGCCGCAGAACTGCGCCGCGCCACCCACGCCGTCCGCGCTGCCGCGAGTGCCACTGCCCGCGAGCGTGGTCACCGCGCCAGCCGCAGCCTCCACCTGTAGGATCTTGTTGCCGCCCCAGTCCGCCACAAACAGAGCGCTGCCGTCCGGGCTAATGGCGATGCCACGGAGGCCGGCGCCTTCCAGGGTTGCCACGCGGCGCACGCGGCCGGCCGCAGAGACGTGCAGCACTGAGTCACCAGTGGTGACGTACCAGGCGTCTGCGTGATCGCTCACGACGCCTTTCACGACGAGCGCTGCCAGAGGGCCGTCCTCGCCCTCGAGCGGCAGCGTGATGACCTGGCCGACGACGCGCGCGCCAAAGAGGGGCGCCTCGAAGCCATCCGCGACCGCCCCAGCCCCGTCCGAGTCGCCGTCCTCGCCGGCGGTGCGGGCGCGCTTACATACGGCGGACAACATGCTCGCGAGCGGGTTCGGGACAAGGGATTGTTGCGGTGGATCCAGGGTCATGATGAAATCTTCTTGAGCGCTGTGCGCTGTGCGCCGATGAACCTTGTGGCGTTGGTCTGACTATGGTCCTCCCTAATTACTTAGTACCCACGTGTAGTGCGCTGCGCTCTCCCCCAGGTCAAATAAACGATGGTACAACTCCCGGGAGAAAGAACGGCGGGAGGGCACAGGACATCACATCAAGATCACTGTGTCGCGCGGCCCAGCTCCCATCTGAGTCTCTCACCAGTCACGCCCATGCAGTGTCTGGTGTGGCGGCAGTGGTCGGCCACCGTGAGTCTGCCACCGTGAGTCTGTCGCGGCGGCCGAGCTGCTGCCGCTCTCTTTGCGCTGCTCGCTCTGGATGAACTTTGCCTGGTGTATACACCCGCCGGCGGGGTGAGGGGCGGAGTTTTTTTTGGGGGGGGGGGGGTTGGATGGTGCGGCAGGGCGAGGAGGACGTCACAGTCATGTCTGGAGTGGGCCTTGGGGTGTGGGGTGGGGTGGGGTGGTGGGAAGGGGAGGAGAGGCAAGTGTTGCAAGCGCGAACCGCGGCAAAGTGCGCAACGTTGCGTCGGTACACCCGCCCGTCGACCCTCATGATCCCACTCCACGGCTCCGGCTCCGGCGCCGCGGGCCCCTCAGCAGCGGCCGGGCTCTCGGCAGCGGCGGCGCTCTCGGGCGCAGGTCTGCCCACACCTCCCCATATCTCGGGCGCACGTCTGGCGCCCCCACCGTTGACCACCGCTTGCGGGTCGTGAGGGTGGGGCGACGGCTGCTGCTGCTGCGGCGGGAGCTGCTGTGGCGACTGCGGCGGCTGTGGCGACGGCTGCTGCTGTGGCGACGGCCGCTGCTGTGGCGACGGCTGCTGCCGCGGAGGCTGCCGTGGAGGCGAGGGCCGGGGCGGCGAGTCTCGGGGCGGCGAATCGGTGAGGTCGACCGTGGTCACCCATCTCGTGGGCTGTCGTGGTGCGGCCGCAGTCTCGCGGGCAGCCTCGTGCGCCTGCTGCACCGCCCGCCGCGCGCTGTCGAAGCGCGAGTCTGCCGCTGATTCAAAGGGCCGCTTCATCCCGTGCTGCTGCTGCTGCTGCTGCTGCTGCTGCTGCTGCTGCTGCTGCTGCTGCTGCTGCTGCTGCTGCTGCTGAAAAACCGCGCGTAGCGACGCCTTGTCGATCGAGATGAGCGCGCTTGAAGCTCGCCCACCTACTGCCCCTGAGAGTTGGTCACGAGTGGGATCAGCTCCCCCCCTTGGGATCGAAGCCGCCACAACCTCACACCCAACATCACAGGTGGGATCAGAGAGAGACTCCACACCGGACACCGCCCGGGCACAGACCCCCTACCCGTCGGATCGCACAGGGCCCCCTCGGAGCAGCCCACAAACAATCACGCATCAGATTGAGTGCCCGAGTCAGGCAGACAGCACAGACAAGGAGAGGAGAGATAGAGAGAGGAGAGAGAGAGAGAGGAGAGAGGAGAGAGGAGAGGGTGAGGGTTTGTGCACACGTGAGGAGTGGCGAGTGGGGAGGGTGTCTCTCTCGAGGTTCTCGAGGTGGATATCCTTTGGCCGCGTTGGGTAGCGAGGATTGGTGTAACCCGAGCCACGGAGGCGTGTTTTCTGACGGCCGACCGTCAGTGCACGGAGTTGCCCCTTCTCCGACTGCCCCGGCTAGTTCCCGAGGTCGCGCGGGAGTGACCCCTGCGTCCCCCGAGACCTAGCGCGGGTGGGTTGGAGGGGGCTCGCCCCGTTCCTCCCCAAGCCTCCCCATCGGGCCGCGTGAGCGGCCACGCCTCGCAGATTCGTTTTTCGCGCCTGGGTCAGGCGCGCGGGGCATCCCCCGGGTCGTTCGACCAGCGATCCGAAGAGTGGCCGCTATGCGAAGGAAAGAGTGGGGCCCTCGGGGTACGCCTCCGTCCGGCCCCCTCCGAGGGGGGAAGGGAATTGTGGGGTCCCCACGGGCGCCTCAGTTCGGCCCTCCCGAGGGGGGGGAGGGGAGCAAGGGGGTGGGGGGATCGGGGCGGTGGGGAGGGGTCTCGGTTTCATGGGTCTAATGCTTGCCTTTCGGGGAGGGGCCTCGGGAAAGGCGAGCGCAGTGGCGCGCGCCCTACGTAGGAGGCACTTGTTTCCGACGCTGTCTCCGTTGTTCGGCTTGAGCAGGATGGAGTGCGTGGAGTCGGGCGGCATGTTGGAATACTTGTCAGACGTGATGTTGTGGTTCGTGTTGCCTGTGGACTCGGCCTTTCCTTTGGCGGGGTCCTCCATGATGATGCAGGTGATGTCCAGCTGGTTGTCGGCCTTGCCGCACAACTCAGCATCCATGTCCTCCAACCGTATCGAGCGGATGGAGTTGTCGCGCACGAGGTTGCGCGACTCGCAGACGGCCGAGGTGCCGTTCATGACGACCGAGGTGTCGTCGAGAATCTCACGCGAAGGTGCCATGTCCCATGTGAACGGGAGCAGAATGTAGAGTTCGATCCTTAAGGAATACAATGTAGGACCAGGAAGACGCTGGGGGAACCAGGATGAAGGAAGACGTCTGATCAGAGCTCAGACGCCGTTCACACCGTCTCCCCAACTATCACACTCTCCCTGACAAGTGTGGGGAGGCAAGGCACTGTGAATCGCCTTAGAGACAGGAGCGATTCGGCGCCGCTGCCGCTGCCGCGAAGCCTCACAAGGGATAACATCGAAGGCTAAGCTGCAGCAATGACGAAAGAGTCGGCGGAGACCGATGCCTTCGTAGAGAAGCAGACGCTCGCGTCTCAGATCATGCGCGCCTCGGAGGGCGAGCCGCCGGTCCTCGCCAAGGCGCCCTTCACACAGATGACGGCGGGAGAGCCGAGGCGGTGCCACCGAGAGCACTGTGTGCCACACGTGCCACACACCCAGCACGCCTCGCGGGGTCGGGCCAGCGGCGCTCTCGCCACGCGCACGTCCGATCGCCGCAGGTGGCCAACACGCTCAAGCCGCTCGCGAAGCCGATCGGCTTCATCGCACGGCTGCTGATTGACTACATCGGCCCCTTCTACCTGAAGCTGGGCAACCTCGGGTTCGAGCTGTACCAGAGGCTGCCCAAGGAGGCGATCCAGACCCTCGCCGGCCTCGCGCTCACCTTTTGTGGCGGCGGATACACCGCCTCCATCTCAGCGGTCAAGGCGTTCCAGGTCTGCGGCTGGGACAGGACAGAGGCGGCGCTGATCGACATCGGCAAGGACGTGCAGGCGGTGTGGGCGGCGAACGTGAGCGACAGCAAGAAGCACGACGACGCGGCGCACCTCGAGAAGGGCGACATCGACTCGAACGAGCTCCTCTCGCGCAAGCTAGCTGTCTCTGCGCAGGCCGTCACACACACACACACACACACACACACACACACACACACACACACACACACACACACACACACCGCTCACACACACACTCACTGGGCCTTGCACTTTCAATGCCGTGGGGCTCCTGTCGTCTAGACGTGGAGACGCGAGGGGCTAGCCTGGCCCTTGCCCCACCACCTCGTGCGTGTGGAGAAGTGTACCGTACCGCACCTTACCCTTACCTCTCTGCGCAGGCCGTCAAGGACCCGGAAAAGCTGTCGGCGGCGCTCGGCGGGCTGATGACGTCGTGGATCGCGGTGCAAGGCATGCTGCGCATCGAGTTCGCAAAGACGATCGCCCTCGGCATCTCCATCTCGGGCATGATCGCGCCGCTCGCGCAAAAGGTCGCCGTGCCCTTCCTGGTGCACACGCTGCCAAAGGAGTACCACAACTGGATACAGTTCGTCATCAAGAACGCCTCGCGCTCGATCGGCTGCTTCATCGCGTGGAAGCTGCAGGAGGTTGTGTCGGCGGCGCACTTGGCGATGGTGGGCGGGCTCATGTTTGCGCGCGGGCTGATGGCGTGGGTGCGCAACAAGGGGTACACCTCGATCCCGGATGAGGCCGACACCAAGCTGGACGAGGTGGTGGGCTACTCGATCGCGGGGCTGGGCTTCTACTCGCAGCTCAAGTACGGCTTCTCGCTGCCCTTCCCGCTCAACTGGATCTTCTTCCCGCTCGACATCGTCGAGTGGTACATCCGCTGGACCTTGACCTCGTAGCGCAGTGGAGGAGGCTGCTGGTCGCTTTGCGCCCCTCTGGAGCGCGAGGCTTGGCGCGGAGCCTAGGGCGGAGCCGCACCGCGCCAGCGGCCCGTGTCGTAGGTCGCGAGACGAGACCCACCTTTGTATGATCAGGAGAGAGGAGAGAGGGAAGAGGCATTTGTCCGTGTCTCAGCGTGTGCTCGAACGTGCGACACGAGTGTGATGAGTTCATGAGATAGCGGGGCGAGGGAGAGAGGCCTGTCCGTGTCCGCTTCACCTCATCATCTTGTAGACCCCAGCCACGTCATATTGTCCCCATGGTTTTCACGGCCGCGGAAAAGCACTGACTCCGCGACTACACTGCTGCTGGACCTGGACGTGGAGCATGGACGCTGGAGCTACTGGGTATGCACGGTTCCCTCCTGGATGCCCGTTTTCGACTCACACAGACTGTCACTCTCTCAGCTGCTAAGCTGGGTCCTATAGCTCTACGGCGCTTGCCACTGCAAGCTCGGGGGTGCGGCCGCGCGTTCACCTTTCTGTGCCAGCTTCCGGGCGACGCGGCAGGATGGGCTCGGCGGTGTAGAGCACCGTGCCTAAGCGAGGGAGCGCGGCGTGAGAGAGAGGGGGGGGATGAGGCGTGTTGACGAATGAGCCGGGGAGCTGCGTGCGCCGTTGTCGGAGTGATAGCGCAGCGTGGTGGCGCCGGCTCCGACGCTGAACGACGCGAAGCCGCCAATCGCGCCATAGTGCCGCTCTCGGTCCATTCGAAAGTGCGGCGGGCCCGGGTTGAGGGGCGAGGCGAGGTGGCGCGGGTGGTAGCAGCACTCCCGACCCGCGCCGGAGAGGACAAACGCCATCCCGTGCTGCTCGTAGTGCGCCGAACAGTGGTCGTGCCCCGCGATGAACCCCGCGGCGCCATGCCTCCGCAGCAGCGGCAGCACGTCCCTCAGCAGCGCGGGCGTCGGGCCGTGCTGGCAGGGCGAGAAGACGGGGTAGTGACCGCTGACCCACAGGTAGTCGGCCGTCGAGGACGCGAGTGTGGCGTCGAGCCACGCGAGCTGATCCGGGCCGAGCCGCTGCGCCGGGTGAGGCGCGTACTGCTCGGCCACGACGCCCGGCTCCCCCTCCTCCTGAGGCATCCCCGCCAGCACCACCGTGTCGATGTAGACGATCTGGACGGTCGCGCCCGACGGCGCGCGCTCGGTGAACGTGTACCACAAGTGTGGATATCGCCAGCGCGCCGTCCCGCGCCGCTGGGCTGCGTAGGCCAGCTGCGCCGAGACGTTGCCGCAGTGGTCGTGGTTGCCTGCGATGGCGTACCAAGGGACCTGCAGCGCCGGCTGGCTGAAGGCCGCCTCGAAGGTCGAGGCAAAGCGGCGCGACTCCACGTCGGTGACGCCACACTCATAAAAGTTGTCTCCGACAGCCATCACGAAAGCGGGCGTGACGCCCATCCAGCTGGCAACTGTCGCCATGCCGTCGCCGTTGGCTAGCTGGGAGCGCGTCGTGGGCATGGACCGGCTCCCACCTCCCCAGTCGCCCATCGCAAAGAAGAGGAGTGGGCTATCTTTTTTCGCGCGGTTGTGCACCGACGGTGATTGCGCCGCGACTGCCGTGGGCGGCGGCCGGCAGAGGAGGAGGAGGACGCACCCCGTGGCGAGGAGGAGACTCAGCGCACTCAGCGCCGCAGCCGCACCGCGGCGCTCGTGTCGCAGCAGGCTGATGTCGGTAAGCATACTTGTAGCAGTCCAGCCCGGGGGGCCAGCAACTGGCTGGTGGAACGCGCGAAAGGCCGCGGCATCAGGAAGTGCCGGAGATTCAGGATCCCACGAATACTTGATTTTGCAGGTTGGTCGGATTTTTCCGTGCCTCGACATTCCTAACGCCTCGCCGCTCCACAATGCCTTTCTCCGTTGCCTCCAGCCGCGCGGCGCCATTCGTCCTCGATCCAGTGCCGGCCTGTGACAAGCTTGGCAGCTCGCGGATCGACGATCGCCACGAGCTCTGAGGGAGGGAGGGTGTAGAGGATGTAGAGTGTAGAGCGCTGTAGAGCTGTAGAGATGTAGAGCGCTCTGGAGCGCTGTAGAGCTGTAGAGCTCTACATTCGGCGCGGGACAGAGCGATGCAGATGTAGAGCGATGTAGAGCGCGATTTTGCTGTAGTGGTGTAGAGTTTGTTGTAGAGGCTCTAGGTTAGAGCAGGCTTGCTCCACCTCTAGCAATCTCTCCGGCCGGCGAGGCACGGACGAGACCGTGTGTGAGGTCTAGTGAGGTGTCTATGGACGCCCTCCTCACAGGCTAGCTGCCTACTGCTAGCCCTATCTCTGATTTAGGACACGCGCCTCTGCTCGCATACACTCATACAATAGTTCAGAACTATTGTATGAGTGTATGCGACCAGAGGGGCGTGTGCTAAATCTAGGCCGCACGTCGTGGCACTATGAAGACGGAGGTAGACGTGCGACCGCAGCGCGCCCACCACAGTCTCGGTGGTGCGCGCGTGTTAGCGAGAAAGTTGCGGGGAGAGCCATGCCCGACTTTTCGAAGGCGAGCCCCACGCCACGGATGCCAGCCGGTATGTCGACAAAACTGGTCCCATACCAGGTGTGTATTCTTTTTGCTTGGGGCGGACAGCATGCCGGGGTAGGTAGGGTAGGTCTGGGCGCTCCCGTCGGGTTTTCCCCTCTCTTCACGCCGGAATTTTCACAGCAAAAAAAGAAATTTTCGGCGAAAATCACGACGTCAACCCTCCCCAAGTGGGTGATCTGGTGCTTGTAGGGCTTGATAGTGGCCTGCCATGTCACAGGAAGGACTGTGATTGCAGGAGAGTACCACCAGCCATCACTTTAGTTGGAATAGCACCCCACCTTCACCGATACCGTGATTTCTTTTTTAGTTTCCCATAAGTAGGGTAGGTAGGTAGGTAGGTAGGTAGGTAGGGGCACAGCAGGGGCCGGTCAGGTTTTTCCAGAATTCAGCATTCTGTCCGCCCCAAGCAAAAAGAATACGCACCTGCCCATACCTGCAGAGTGCCGAGTCCGGCGCGCGTGCTTTCGCGTTGCCGCCCAGCCGCGTCGGCCTCCGCCTCCGCCTCTTCGACCCAACACGTATATGTCGTCGCCCGCGCCGTCGCCCGCGCCCGCGCCCGCGCCTCAGCTTGCGCCTGCGGGTTGGACAGCGGACGAGCTGGTTCGTGTGGACCCGGGCGGGAGCGACAATAGCATCTGCCTGTGGTGCAGCCTGCCCTTTCGGCCCGACGATGTTAGGATTGTGCGCCGTTTCGTTCCCAAGCTCTCAACTTGGACGAGTGCCAACACTTGGTACAGGCAGACTGACGGCAGGGGAGACGCGCTTGCTATTGAGGGGGCGTATCACCCGCAGTGTGCGTTCCAGTATGCAGGCTCGGCATGCTCGGCGAAGTGCCGGACATGCGGCGATGCCTCGAAGGGCCGCCTGCTGGTCACGAAGATGGCGATGCCGGCTAGCGAGCTCGATGGGCGGTTGAAGGACTATGGCACCAGTGACAACCCATCGGCCCCTCGCTGCGTGGAGGCAAAGGTGATCAAGCGCAGCCGGGCAGAAGGCGATGCAGGCAAGTACAGCGACAAGCAGTCACCACGGATCGGGAGGATGTTCACGTGCTTCGACTGCGCCTCGAAATTCATGAATTCATATGCCGAGATGCTGAGAGACCTGCTCGGGCCAGCTCAACAAAAGGCTGACGTGGCGTGGGAGCCGCGCTACGCGCTGAGCATTTTCTCCCGCGCCGCGGGGATGAGCGAACACGGCAAGCCCACGCTTCCCCCGGCCGGGCCGGACAAAGAGGCCTTCCTTGCCTGCTTCCGGCTGGGAGGCGATCACGTGAGAGCAGTCGCGGCCCACACGGCGCTGCAAAGCCGCATCGCGGGGGCCGGCACTGCTGGGGCTGCTGCTGGTGCTGCGGCGGCCGTCGCTGGCGCAAGAGAAGAAGCGGCGTGATTTTCTTTTCAAAACCGAAGCACAGCACGCCACGACCCTCGCCGCCGCGAGCAATCTCGCCCGCGCCAGCGTTCAACACTCCACCTCCTGCGGCGGCGGCGAGGCCCTTATCTGCCTCCCGTTTCTCCAACCTCGACGGATCATGATCGGCTCACTCTTGCCAAGCATCGTGGCGGCTGTGCTGCGGCCGCCGACGCTCAGCCGTTCGCGATTGCTCGTTGCGCAGCAGCAGGGCTACACGCAAGGCCAGCCCGCCGGCTGGACGACCAGCTTTGATTTCGACGGTACGCCGTATTTCTGCAGCGACCAGACGGGCGAGTGCCAGTGGGAGCCGCCTCAGTGGGCGCAGCAAGGCCAGAGCGCGCAGGTGACCTGGAGTGTGCGAGGCGTCGCCGGTGTCAGCGGCTTCACGCACCCGGACGGCTTCACCCACCTCGACCGTTACCGCGACCTGCCATACTTTGTGCAGAGCGGCGAGGAGCTCGTGCTGAGCCGGTGGAACATGGAGGTCCAGAAGCTGCACGTGTCTCGAGAGCAGTGCACGGTGAGCGTGCTCGGCGACGGCACCGCCAGTCTACTCAGCTGCGGCAAGCCGCCCACTCTGTGGCGGTCGCGGACAGGCGTGCTGCCTTATCTCTCGGCTAACTCTCGGCTACTCCTCGGCCAGATCGCGCCTTTATATCTCGCCTATACCTCGGCCATATCTCGGCCATGTCTCGGCCTATCTCGGCCATACCTAAGCGGCCGCGACCCCGTTAGGCGCCTCGTGGAACGCGCTCCTCAGAGGCTGAGGCCTTCAGAAGCTGAAACCGATCGCCAGGGAGAGGACACGTACTCCGCTGTATTCCGGGCCGTGTTCAGCGGTATTCATTGTATTCGCAGCCCGTGTGTTCACACGAGTACACTCTCCGGAGCTGTAGTCACACTCTGTAGTCGGCGCATCCACACCGCAGGCCAGAGGCACGACCTCGAGGACGGCGACATGGTGAGCCTGGACGCGCAGGACCCCGACGCGGCTGTCCTCATGTGCGTGGCTGAGGGCGCGTCGCAGCCGGGCTCCGCGCTGCCTGCCGGCTGGTTCGCGGACGTCGACCCAGCGAGCGGAGACACGTACTTCTTTAACGAGCAGACGGGCGAGACGCAGTGGGAATTCCCGCGGTGGTGAGCGGACGGCGCCGTGGGGCTTGTCGGGTGGGCGTGGGGACCTGTCGCCGCTCACGGCACCGCTGGCCAGTAGTGGCGGCATGGAAAAGAGGGGGAGGGTCAAGGTCGCGCAGGGGGGAAATTTTGGAGCACTTCGGAGTGCAGTGTGCAGACTGCAGTTGGCAACCTCACTCCTCACATGACTAGGGTGCCCACAGGACCCAAAAGAAACACAGCTTTCCGCCTCAAAAAGGGACGCACGCGGCAAATCTGATGTTGGAGTGTTCCAATAGGAGCGAGGCCTCTTCCGTTGCGGGACCGAGTGACTAGGAAACGAGGGTTCCCCATTGTGTCCCGCTCCAGCGCGAGCGTGACACTGCACTTGGCGCCGAGCGCCCGCGGCTCAGACCTTGTGCAAGCCACCCCTCGGTGCAAGCACCGGTCCGGACCGATGGCGCTCGGTGTGGAGCAAGCAAGACCCCCCGCCCCCCCCCATCGGCGCGCGCTCGCCATTCCAACGGCCGCCAGGAGCACCAAGAGGACTCCTCATGGCTGCTTGCAAGTGGGCTTCGACCGGCCTCGGCTGGGGGGGCGGGTTGTCCCGGCTGCGGACGCCTTCTGCAGCCCCGTGGGATGGGGACAGCACCCCAAAACTGCCCCTCGGCGGCATACAGCACTGCCAGCCAGCCTCTTCCTTCTCCTCAAGGGCTGTACTATAGGCCATATTGCGCCGCCTCCTACTGGCAGCCGGGCGGGCGCGCGCCGCGGGCGCCTCGGCGCGCGCACGGCTCGCAAAGTTCGAACGAGTACTGCCGCCCGGCCGCCTCAAGGCTGCCGGACGGCAGTACTCGCCTCGCAAGGCGCGCACCGGCTGCTCTGGCTGCTGCGCCGGCGGCCGCTGCGCTGGCCGCTGCTGCGCCGGCTGGCGGGCGGTACGGCCGCCGCCGGCCGCTGCACCCGCGCCTTCCCTCGCGGGCGCCGTCGCGCCGCGCGCGCCCAACTCTGCTGGTACACGGCACGCGCGCGTCACACAGCCGCGGAGAACAGGCGGTGCTGTGCGCGAAGCGCGCGCGATCTCGTACTTTTAAGGCTGGATCCGGCCATTCCAAGGGTATACCTTTGAGAATCCCCAGCGTCCCTCCCTCCTAGTCACACTCTCAATATCTCGACTCTCCAACACGAAGTGCTGCGATCTGGGGTGGCCCATTTCTTTTTTCCTTTCTTTTTTTGGGCCCCGTGGGCACCCTAACATGACACATCCAGCCGTGGAATCCAGGCACCAGGGCCGGGGAGCTATCAATGGAGCTGCTATGGTGTATGGAGCGCACCAGCGGGCCGGATGCATGGCACGATAGGGGAAGAGATGACCGCGCAGCAGTCGTTTTGGAGCACTTGGAGCACTTGGAGTGCAGTTAGCAACCGCATATCACTTGGAGCACTTCGATGGGTTTTTTTTCTTTGCGCGCTGCGCACACGAGTTGGGAGGGGAAACAGCTCGCTCCCTGGCCTCTTTGTTCTTGCACTCCCTCGACCTAATGCGAGCGCTGATCGCCGTGCTCTGCGCTGCTCCGGCGGCTGCCGTCAGCTGTGCCTCGCTTCGGCCGATCTCCACGCAGACGCGGCTCAGGCTCGTGATGCAGGAGCCGCCGCCGTCGGTGGAGGAGCCGAGCGATGCTATGCCACGCACGCCACCACGCGTGCCAGGTGACACCACCATCGCAAACAGCCGCGGCGACATGCCCACCAGCCTATTCGGTCTCGACATCAACGTGCAGACGCCGACTGGTGGCCTCATCGCGTCCGTGCTCTTTTCTCTCGCGTTCGGGCTCATAGTGGAGCTGGTCAAGTTTGTGGACCCGAACACGGCTAGCCCCTCGGTGTTTGGGAGGCTGCTTTAGCGCGACGACACACGCGCTCCACCACGCGATCACTGCCCAAAAAAATGTGGGCGCAACGTCCGCCGTCCCATGAATATCCTGTTTACCGCCGCATACCTTTCGAGCTGTGTTTAGCGTGTCGATGTGGCGTCTCAATAAATGCGCGGAGACTACAGCTGAAACGCGCGTGTGCATACACCTTACTCCCCTCCGGACACCTCTCCGGGTCGTGCGGCGCAGCGTCAGCTTGTGCGTTGTGCCGGATGCCGCAGTTGCACCTCGATAGAGCGCTGTTTAACATTAACTTTGGGCCTAACAGTTGCGCTAGTGTTGGCTGAAATCCTCAACGTTGTTCAAAGTGTTCACCCCAGCTCATGCTGTTACTGTTTGTTACTGTTGTTACTGTTGTTCAGCGGTCAGCAAGCAGAAAATGCCAAAAAACCCGGGTAAAACCCGAAAATACCTGGGGTTTTCCGCTTTTCCGGGTATTTTCGGGTATTACCCGCACTGGACGCTGGAGAACGTCGTGGGTCACTGCCAGGCCTTCCTTATTGTTGTTCAGCCGGCATAACGTTAGCTACTGTTGTTGGGGAGCCCCACTGTTGTTCTGTTGTTACTGTTAACACTAGCAACACTGTTCAGCTCCCAACGTTAAACAGCTCTACACCTCGATCGGGGCCGGCATGTACGTACTTCTGTTGTGGTGATGCCTGCGCGCAGAAGCCGCAGAGCGGTCAGTGGTGGGGCGAGGCGGAGCCGGCCGCGGGCCGGGTGCAAGGCGCCGGCCTCGCCTTGGCGCGCCGCACGGGCGTGCAGGTGTGAGGTGAGTCACCAGGCAGCACAGAACACGTGAAAGCCCGGATGCTTGCTAGTACTTGAGAAGGCACCAACAACGCGGCAGGGCCCGTTTTGGCTGTCTGCGGAGATTCTGTCTTAGCACACACAGTGAGTCATTCGGAGTCATTCGATGGCCAGAGTGCGATTGTGTGTGTGCGGGAGTTGGTTTGTCGGGAGGGAGGGGCAGGCTGCTCACCCACGTGCACCGGGCCAGTGCTTGCACTTTGAATGCCGTGGGGCTCCTGCCCGTGTCCGGGCGTGGAGATGCGAGGGTCGCCCCCCCTTGCCCCACCACTTTGTGTGTGTGGAGAAATCTAGGCTTACTCGAGTACCTTAGGTGTGAAAGTGTCGCGCCTTGCACCGAGGATTCATGCCCGCCTCGGGCTCCTCAACGCCCTCAACGCCCTCGCCCGACAAGATCTCCGTCACGCCGACGCGTCTCTCCCCCGGCGACAAGGATGAGGACTCGCCCAACAAGGACGAGGTCACGCTGCCCCGCGGCTGCAAGCTTGAGCTCAACTTCGAGAGCGGGCGGCTGCTCCTCAAAAAGCGCAAGAAGCATGAATTGCAGTGGCCCATGGGCGAGCTGACGCGCATCGAGGTGACGCACTCGGCGAGTGCCGGCGAGCCGTGCCTCAAATTCATGCTCGGCTCGAACGTCGAGCACCAGCAAAAGGCGCCGCCCGCCGATGTCGAGCTGCTCGATGCATACCACCGCGGCGCGCTGCGGCGAGGCACGAAGGTCCTCTTCATGACCGCCGCGGATGCGAAGCAGCTGTACGCGGCTCTGCGCGCGCACAAGGACGCCGGCGCCGCGTGCCTCGCCGACGCGCACGTGTGCGACTCGGAGCTGCTCGACGCGGCCGCCACCCTCGGCCGCCTCTCGCTCGGTGGCGACGCGCCGCCGAGCGGCGCGCCGCCGAGCGGCGCCGACGTGTCGCGTCAGGCGAGCGACGCGACGAGCGTCGCCTCGTGCGCGACCAGCGGCGGCGGCGCGCCGCGCGAGGCGCTTATCTTCGTCTGCAGCCCGACGCAGCAGAGCCTGCATCTGCCACACGCCAAGGACGAGGCGATCGACGTGGCCAACGAGGTGACGGCGCGCATCCGGCGCGGCGGCTCGCCGACGGACCTCAAGCAGGAGCTGCTCGACGGCCACGGCGCGTACAAGTACTTCCTCTTTTCGGGCCATGGCGACGTGCGGCTGCCGCCCGTGCGATCCGCCGCCGCCGCCGCCGCCGCCGCGCCGGCGGCCGCGAGCGAGGCGGCGAAGGACGCGAGCGAGGCGCGCGAGGCGAGCCGCACCGTCACGCTCGGCTTCACCAACACGGCGACGGGGCAGCTCGAGCTGACGCTGCCGACGACGCTCGCGGCCATGCTCGCCTCGCACGGCCTGCAGCTCGTCTTCCTCAACGGCTGCGACACGGCCAGCCTCGGCGCGCAGCTCCGGCAGCGCGGCGTGCCGCACGTCGTCTGCTGGCGGACCAAGGCGGCCGACGCGGCGTCGCGCACGCTCGCGCGCGCCTTCTTCGCCGCCCTCGCCAAGGGGCGCAGCGTGGGCGAGGCGTATGGCGACGCGACGCAGTCGGTGCTCGCGATGGCGACGCGGCGCGGCGTGCCTTTGTTCATGTTCTGCGATCCCGATGCGGACGGCGAGGACGCGAAGACGAGCCCGCCATATGCGGCCGGCGTGCCGGTATTACTCACGGTGGAAGGCGATGACAAGAGCTACATACACTGAAGAAAACAGGACCATAAATAAATAAATAAAACGGACACACCAAACAAGGGGTGGGAGGTAAGGTAAGGTAAGGTAAGGTAAACTTCTCCACACACACGAGGTGGTGGGGCAAGGGGGGGCAACCCTCGCGTCTCAAGGGGTGGGAGCTGGGAGAAGCGACAGGGTCCCCACCTGCGCGAGCAGGATCTTGTAAGGACGATCAGGGACACAGGGGAACGGGAGCGGGGAGCGCATGTATAGGACAAAGTTGCACCCGGCGGCACGGGGGCAGGACCAGCGGAGATTGCCCCCGAGCTTTTATTTTTTTTCTTGCACTTCAGTGGTTTTGGAGCGCTTGTTCGCCGCCGCCTTCGCCCTTCGCAGCCCACTCTGCTCATGTTCATGTGGCCGCGGCCCCTCTCTGACGAGGCCGCCCCATCGGCTCTCTTTAATTTGTGGCTCGTGTTTTGCTACACCCTCTTCCTGCCGAGCGTCGCGTCGCACACCTCTGCCTCAGCAGTGGCGCTTGCAGCCCACAGGCCTCCGACCACACTCATCGCGGCGCAGCGACTCCACGCGACGGCGCTCGCCGTGGCGCCGGTGCCAGGCGTGCGCTCCTCTCACGCGCCAACGCTTCTTCAGCCAAGATCGGGTCGCAACTTTCGACCGGTGGACTTTGGAGCGGACCCAACAGGCAGGCTCGACTCGACGAGAGCGCTGCAGGCAGCGTTGGTCGCGCTCCTGTCGGTGGGTAGTCTCAAACCTGCCGCCTCGAAACTGGCATCAAACATCACAGACCTCGGCGGCGCGACGCTGGAGCTCGAGGGCGAGTTCCTCATTTCGCAGCCGCTTCTCGTCCCAGCCTTCTTTGGGAACTTCTACATCATGCGCGGCACGCTGCGCGCCTCCTCGTCGTTCCCCCGCAACGGTGTGCTCCTCACCGTTGGCAGTGTCGACTGCCATCCGTTCGACGCGCGCGGGCTCCCCGATGGCCAGAAGAGCTGCAATGAGGTGCCAGACTAACCATTCGTAGCCATGAACGGCGGTGCCCTCTGGACCAGTAGAGTTGACTCCTCTCTAGTTTGTCAACGTGCGGGAGGTCTACTTTGACGCGGCGCACGTCGCTGCGGGCGGCCTGCTCGTGGCGTGCACGATGGGCGCCACCGTGGCCGACGCCTTTTTCTATGGCTTCCGCCGCTTCGGCCTGCGCCTGGCGGGCGGGCACGAGGGGCTCATAACGCAGGTGTGGGCGGCGGAGTACTTCTGGTCGGAGGCGCTGCTGCCGTCGGTGATCGTCGCGAGGCTCAACTCGACGTCGGTGGGCGTTGTCGTCGACTCGATCGACAACGTGCTTTCCGACGTCATCGTGTTCGCGTACACGCAGACGGGCGTGACGGTCGACGGCTGCTGCAACACGCTGAGCGGAGTGCACGTGTGGAATAATGTGCGGGCTGCCGCGTCCGCGGTCGCGCGCTCCCCGCCCTACCGCGTTGTCTGACGCGTTGTCTGGCGCGCGCGCAGGCGCTCGCGGGCGGCATCGTCGTCGGCGGCTCCGTCTTCTCTCCGCAGGTTGCTCACCCACGTGCACCGGGCCTCGCACTTTGAATGCCGGGCCTGCTCCTGCCTGTCCGGGTGTGTGGAGATGCGAGGGCTGCCCGGCCCCTGCCTCACCACCCACTTACGGTGTGTGAAGTAGAAGTTTACTTGACCTCAGACCTCTCTCCGCAGACGCGGCTGCGCAGCTGCTACCTGGACTTCAACCACCTGATCGTGCACGCGCCTTCGAGCCTCACGGTCGAGTCCTCCTTCTTCCTCAACGCGCACGTCGAGCTGCGCGCGGCGGCGGAGGGCGCGGAGCAGGCCGAGGGCGACGGCGGGGCGTCGCTCGACAACGTGATCATCCGCGACAATCTCTTCGCCGCAAAGAGCACGGGCGGCTACGCGTCGGTGAAGCTCAGCGGCTCGTTCGTTGGCGGCCGGCGCACACTCATCGACGACTCGGCGAGCAGCGTGCAGGACGCGGCGTGGCCGGCGCTGCAGCCTCCGCGCCTCAAGGCGACGCGCGCGTCGAGGACGCTCCACCTCGTCGGCGCGCGGCGGTGGGCGTTCGACTTTGCCGACGAGCTGCTGCTGCCGGAGATCGACCGCCTCTCCTACACGCTCGTCACCGACGACGAGAGCAGCTTCGTCCGCCACGTCGCCCGCCGACCCATCGGCACCACCGCCATCGTCGAGACCGACGCCAACGTCAGCGCCACTGTCACCATCTCCGTGGTCCAGGCGGACGGCGGCAGCATGTGGCCGCGCCGCGCGCCACCGGCGCAGCAGCACCGGCCGGAGCGAGACGGCCGGGCTCGAACTTAGACGGCACGCTGCGTGGTCGGAGCCGAGTCATGAACTTGGACGAACACGCCTGCCAGGCGCGGTTAAAATAGGGGGTGCGCAGCGCCCCAAAATCCACCACTTCTCCCAAGGTGGTGGACAAGAACAGGCTGAGCGCATTGGGCGCTGGCCCTTCTGGCACCAGCGGGAGCACCGAGCGCGCACCGCCGCGCTCTCCCTCCCCCACCTCGCCGCCTGCCAAATCGCCGCGGCCGTCTGCGCCTGCTTCCGGGTATGACTCCGAGCTCGAATTTTCCGACGCTGAGGCGCGGGATAGGGTGGCAGGGGTTGTGCACGACGCAGTGCAGCAGGCTGTGATGCAGTATGGCTATGCCGACGAGCTCTACCAGGCATGGAGGGACGGCGAGATAGGCGAAAAGGACTTGCCGGAGGAGGTGATGGCTATGACTTTGGACCTTTGCGAGAGGTGGCGAGCGGAGCAAGCGCGGTGTAGGCGCGCCCACGCGGCGCAGCGGCTCTCCCGCGACCATAGCCCCTCCCGCAGCCGCAGCCGTAGCCGCAGCCCCAACTCTTGCTGCTCTTCTAGTGTCGGGTAAACCGTAGTGACCAGGGGTGAGGGGACAATTTGAAGATCCCTCACACCAAGATCGTGCAGGGCGGGGACACATGTCCCTAAATCCCATCTCGTCTCAGAGTTTGACCGTTTTTATGTATTTATTTATTCAACATCCACCACTGTGGGATTTCGCGCAAAAGATTGACTCTGAAAAGCTCGCATATCCCTGCGGTGAGCGCTGTGGTCGCCGCAGACTGGCTCCGACTTGACGGCGGCATGGAGACGTGATGCCTCGAGTCAAAATCTCGCGACATGCGAGTCGATCTTTGGCCCGCCAGAGGGATAAGAGAGCACCGCGCTGTTGTTGGCGCGTGGAATAAATGAGGAAAGAGTTTCATGCAGATACATCACTGAAAACGTCCATATTTTGTGTGTGTACCACTCCAAGATACCCGTGGGTGGCGATGTGTAGGAACTGCACTCAAGTCCGACCGAGCCTGGCTGTTCTTCGCCCTTACTGCGCCCTGTTCGCGCGCGCGCGAGGCGTGCAGACAGGATTGCCAGGTGAGAACGAATGGCGCGGTTCACACGCCTTCGTCATTTGTTCGCCCAAGAGTTTGATTCGTTCGCGAAGGAAGGCCCACAGGAGCCAGCGGCACCCACCCACACACACGCACCACCCAAGAAGAGACTCTCTCGCACCCACGAAACATCAAGGCATTTTTGCGCCGCCGTGGGGGTAGGGTGAACTCCTTAGGACATTTCCCGTTTTTCACACACCATCCGCCTATTTTGGCGCGTGTCTTCGGTGTTTTCCTCGCGAGTTCTCCGCCGTGCCCGACCGAGTCCCTACTTCTTCCAGCTTCCATGTGCCGCGCAGCCGACCTCGAGAAGGGACTGCCGCCCAAGGTGCGCTCCCACCAGCCCAGACGCCTCCCTCTCTCTCCTCTCCTCACGCGCTCGCCCTCGCACAGCTCCAACACATGGATCCTCGCCATCGTGATCGTCGCGCTTGCACTGGCTCTCACGCACTCGGCCCTCTCACAGGCGCGCTCCAACACATGGATCATCGCCATCGTGATACTCACGCTTGCACTGGCTCTCGGCCTCGGTGTCGGTCTCGGTGTCGGACTGAACAAGAAGGAGGACTCCACGATCTCCACGTACTCCACCATCGCCGACGTCGCCTGCGGCACGAACGCCCCGGCGCAGTTCTCCACGCTCTGTGCCGCGATCGCTGCGTCTCCCACGGTCCTCGCCGCGCTCTCCGCCGCGGGCACCTACACGGTCTTTGCTCCGAACAACGACGCGTTTGATGCCCTTCCAGACGGAGCGCTCGCCGACCTGCTCAAGCCCGAGAACGAGGCCGCACTCACAAACCTCCTGCTGAAGCACACCCTCGGGTCCAAGGTGCCGGCGGCGGACGCGCTGAACCTCGTCAACGAGCCTGTCGACACCCTGGCCTCCACCAACAGCATCACGGAGAAGATCGTTGTCGACGGCAACGGCACCGCCGGGCCCGTCACCATCACGCCCGCCATCGTTGGAGGATCTGCTGAGGTGGTCGCCCCCAACCTCGCCGAGGCCGACAACGGCGGTAGCGTGATCCACGAGATCAACAAGGTGATCGCGACGTGGTCCTACATGTCCATCGCCCAGGTCGCCTGCGACCCTAGCCTCGACGCCACCGTCGGCACGCTCTGCGCCGCGGTCGGAGCGTCTTCTGCGGTGGCTGACGCGCTCTCGAACTCCGGGTCCTACACCGTCTTTGCCCCAACGAACGGCGCGTTCGCTGCCCTCGACCAGACCTTCCTCCAAAGCGTGCTCGCGGACGATGCAATCGTCACCGCCCTCCTCCAGAAGCACGCCCTCGGCTCCGAGGTCCCAGCGTCAGTCGCGCTGACGCTCGAGAACTCCGCCCAAACCACGCTGAACGGAGAGGACATCACGGTCGACGGCTCGACCGGCTCCGTCCTCGTCACGCCCAGTATCCTCGGCGGCCCTTCCACCGTGATCTCCGCCGACGTCCAGACCAGCAACGGCGTGATCCACGTCGTGGACAAGGTGCTCGCTCTGGCGGCCCTGGTGCCTCCCCCGTCTCCGCCGCCGCCGGCGGCCCCCTGATCGACGTGTATGCTCTTGAGGAGGGGGTGGGGGAGAAGCGCTAGTATGACCTCGGCTAACAGCTCGAAACGGAGGAGGCGGCGCCGAGGAGTCCATTATCGTACTCCCACCGGTCGCATGAACGTCTGTAGACGAGCACGTACTGTCGCGGGGCGTGGGTTGAGGATTGTCAAGCGCGCGTGCGTTACCCAAGAGCCAAGTCTGTCCGTCCGGAGCCCCCTCCATGTGTCTGCGTGCGCTCCACAGTGTGTGTTGTCTATTCCGGACGCTGACTCCGTGACTGAGCGGACTGCTGTGTACTACATATACTTGTTGTAGATTCAAACAGGCGCGGCCACTCTCCACGATGCACGCGCGCGTACACAGTGTGCTTCGCGTGCGACGCGCCCGTGTCCGAGTGCCGCCACTGGCGGGGCGGCGAGCCGAGGGCGCCGGCGCACTGCAACGCGCACGCCGGCAGCGCCGAGTGGCGCACGCAGCGCTCCAACGCCAAGCGGCAGCGCACGCGGGCGGCGCGGGCGGCGAGGGACCCGCTCGGGCTGGGCTGATAGATTGAATACTGTCGAAGGATAGTAGTATGGCAGTGCGGTCAGAGGGCGGCCGGGTCGCCCCGGAGCGACCCCGCGCGGGGAGGTGGGTGGAGGGCGGGCCTGTCACCGCGTTTCCTGCGCTGGCCTTCGCCTTCGAGCTCGCAGTGGGTCGTTTTGAGTGTCATCCCCATCGCTCTCGTCGTTCTGCCTCTCCCCGCTTCGAGGCGTCTCTCTGCCTCTTCCCTTTCCTTCTCCTCGGCATCACGTTGTCGATGTCGCCTCCGTCGCCAGCAAATACACGCATTCGCCGCCCACTCCATTTCTCGTATCCTCTCCTTCCTACCTTTCCTTCTGTCCCTCTCTCAGGCGCTCTGTTTCCGAGGCTACTCGTTCCTTCCTCTCCGCCTCGAGTCCCTTCCTCTTCCCTTCCCGTACTTTGATTATTGATGCGGCGGAGATCCATAATCCGTATACGTGACACGTGGTACGTATGAGGCAACCACAGGGCCATCGCACCGTCACGCACGCGATGATTACGTGTATGTATTGACGTTTTCTATTTATTTTTGAAGGGGGAGGCGTTCGACGGGCTGCGTAATGCGACGCATTTGGACTGGCAAGTGACGTACACGCACCGAGTTTACGTATTCCCGAGAGGGCGTAATGTGATGCGTATGCATATGGGCCTCCGTGCATATGCGTAGCAGTACTGACGACGATTGCGCCCTCCCATCCCCCGAATGATGCTAGCCTTCCGTCTCGAGTCTTCTTTAGCGATGCGTCCGTCGCTGCCGCCGCTGTGAAGTGGTGCCACTTGTGCAGGCGGCACGCCAGGTCCCTCGCCCTCCACGTCGTGCTCGTTCCCCGCTCTCGCATGGTCCGACACTCGCTCTCGTCCATCACAATCTCGTTCTCGCCCTCTCGGTCGCGTAGTCGCTCTTGCGGCGCGCTCCGGATGGGGCGCCCGAAATTTTTACATGAAACTTACTCGCACGACACTGGTGTACCTGTGTTAGTGCCAGTGCGCGCCAGTCCCGTGCCCAGTGTCGTGCGAGAAAAGAATTTACTCGCTCAGTGCGAAGTTTCTCTCAGCTCATGTTACCCATAACGCGTTGGTGTCCCAGTCGTTGGTCGGACTGTGTTTCGCCTTCCCATCAATCAATTCCCCCTCTCACGAGTGCAGCTTGCACCCATCGCAGTACACCTTCATCTCCTTGGAGTCGTACAGGTCGGGCCTCGGTTCGCCCTTCACCTTCAGAAAGCCCACGGCGCCCTTGTCGATGCGGAATATGCTGTGGTCCACCAGGGTGTAGCTGCCGGGTACGAGTGCGTCAAACTCGACCACGGTGGTACCCGCAGCAGGAACCGCCGTGACACCGATACCCCGCGCCGGCGGCGAGATCAGGTCGCCCTCGCGATAGACCTAGCAGTAATAGGCAACTTGATTCGAAACCTCGGGCCCCACCCGCAACTAGCACGACGTGGCCTTGTCAAAGATCGCGCCGATCACGTGGAGGCTCGAGATCAGGTTGGGCCCGGCGTTGCCGAAGTAGATCCTCACGCGCTCGCCCTGCTTCGCCATCAGCGGCCTCTCGGTCAATGCACCCTCCCGGCCGTTGAAGACCACATACGTCGGACTCTCCCGCAGCCCCGCCTCGTAGTCGAGCTCCAGCACACTCGACCCCTCCTCGTCCTCGGCGGAGTACACTTCGTGCTGCACCACGTAGAATTCTCGGTCCACCGGAGGAAGGCCGCCTGCGCGGAGGCGGCGCGCCGCACGCTTCGGTGAGAGCGCCTTCGCGAGGCGTTTCGGGCGTGGCGGTGAGCAGACAGCGGCGGTGTGGCGGTGGGGAGGGCAGCCCGCCCTCTGGCTCCACAAGCACGAGGCCAAACATGCCTGCGGCGAGGGGTGGGTGCCTGGTAAGAGAAGGGAGATGCCGACTAGTAGGGGTGGCGCCCACCGCCGCAGCGCTGCGGGTGGGGAGGCCGGGGCTTCGGCGGGGCAGGCGGCGCGCGATGCCGTTCGCAATGTGGACCGGCACAGGCGCAGCCGCGCAGTGGTACACGAACAGCCCAGGCGAGGTGCACTTGAAAATGCCCGTCTTGGTCTCGTCCTGCTCCGCATACAGGCACGGGCCCCCGCCGCCTGGGCCCACCACGCTATGCAGGTCGATGTTGTGCGCCATGCCCGACTCGGCCCGATTCGTGTAGTTCACCTGGTGGAGGCGGGTCGGGGGTCAGGGCCGCGGCGCGGAGGGGGCGACCGAGAGGAGAAGGGCTACGGCGGAGAGGCGGCCGTAGGTACCTCGAGCACGTCCCCGACGCGGGCCCGGATCATCGGCCCCGGCACGCCGTCGTTGAAAGTCCAGAACGGGTACTTGCAGGATGGCGACACAGGCATCGTCTTCTCCGTGCTGTACAAGTCGACGACGAGGCGGGCCGGCGTTCTCCGCTCAATGGGCGGCGGCACGTGGGGCGCCATGGTGAGGGGCGCCTTGATGCGCGGCAGCGCCTCGATGGCGGCCACACGGACGGCGTCAACCTTGAGGACGGGGGGAGGCGCGGTGAGGGCGGCCGCCATGCTGGTAGCAGTCGTCAGGGACGGTGGCGAGTGGGAGAGTCAGGGACGGTGGCGAGTAGGCCTTGGTAAGCTTTGCGTGGTGATCGAGAGCGTTGTCCAGCTCCTCTTCAAAGCGCTTCGCCGCGGCGACCTCCGGCTCGGCTTGAACAGAGACGTCGACGCGGAAGGTGGACGGGTTCTGGGCGGCGTTGAAGCGGGCCGCACCGCTATTCTCGGCGGCCGAAACCTCCTGCTGCATGGCGCGACTCTTCGACGCGCGCTCCTGCTGCTTGGCTGCTGAGGGAGCGGAGGGCTCGCAGCGGAGGGTGGAGCCGGCGGACAAGGCCGCAGCGGCAGTGAGTGAGCGAATCCGCAAAACACTCCGGCGCATTGGCGGGGGGCGACTCGATCCCGGCCCACTGCGTGCCGAGCAGAGACGCGGACAGCTTCCTCACCTGCTGCAGCTCGGACGCCTCGCACGCACGCGCCAGCAGCCTCTTCGGGTGGTGGGGTGTAACAAGGGGGTGTTGGTTGAGCGCCGGTTTCCTGCGGCTTGTTTAGATTTTTCTTTTGCACGCGCCAGTTCGCACCTGTGTCGAGCCTGTGTGCTGTGAGAGAGAGTTGTTTTGTTTAAATTCTTTTGTGCGCTGGAGATGACAGACATTAGCGTGAGCCGTGGGGTAGGATCAGGGGTAGGAACGACGACAGACACTAGCAGGGGGGGGGGGGGGGCGCTTCGACAACTGCGGATCGCTCATGTCCGTTGGTTGGTTGGTGCAGGCAGGCAGCTCCCGCGGTCGGTCCCAGCCCGGGCCGCTCAAGGCAAGCTCCCGGGATGGCGAGCCGATGCCCGACGCTCCGCACGCCGACCTGCGGCGAGCGCGCCGCACGTGTGAGTCTCGTCTTGCGAGGCGGGATGGATTCGCCTATCGCCCTGCTGCAGCATCCGTTCCCATCTCTGGCTGCCGTTCGCCGAGCGCCTCCTCAAAGCATGCGAGAATCTCGTCGCTCTGAAGGTCAGTCTCTAGCACGTCGTCAGCAGCGCGGATGCTCGCCAGCAAGCACGGCCCGCCGTCGGTCGCGGTCTCGTCTTAGTTCTGGCAGAGTGCCCGTCGAGACCGTGTCCTGATGTGCTCTGCACGGGTGAGTCACGTCGGCGTCAAAGGAGCGACGTGTGACCTGTCAGAGCTTGATCTCCGAACTCCGATCTCAGCGACGTCGAGTCGCCTTCGGTGGCGACAGCTAGGATGCATCTCCTCCGTCGTTTTTCGCGCGATGGCCCTGAGAAGCTGGCGGCGCACGCAGGCGGACCTTGTGTGTGCGCGGAACGCTTAAAAAGTGGGTGCTCTACGTCACTTTTTTTTGAGTAGATAGTGCCGAGCTGGCCGTGACAGCGTTTTTGGTTTTTTTCCCACACTTTTTGCATGACGTAGTCTTCTGTCTCTAATGGACATCAATCCTCGCGCTCTAACCAACCGTCTCACACACTCACCTAATCTTAAACGCTACGCTTTACCCAACGCCAATGCGGCCAAAGGATAAGGGGGTCGACGACCGGCTCCGGGGGCGACGCGGTTCCCTAGCGCCGTACACGTGTCGTCATGTTATTGTCTGTGTGACGCGTCACCGTCAGCCCATAACGTAGACAGAGAGGGCATCCACGCGGCTGTACGCATGTAGCTTACTGTAGAGCTAAGGCACGCCTGACCCTCCCTCCACCATGACATGCGTGCGTGTCAAAACTATCAGGCGTCGATCAGCTCAACACAAACAATGCCCCAATGGATCAGCTCAACAAACAATGCCCCAATGCCGCGACGTGCGCGCGGGCGATGGAGTTGCACAGCCCCTCGCCGAGGTCGGCGCGCGCGCTCCTCGCCGCGACCAGCGCGAGCGCAACCCTCGCCGCCCGCTGCTGCCGGCGAGTGCTGGCCGCGGCCCTGACCCTCCGGCTTGCCGCTTCACCTGCCGCTTCACGTGCCGCTTCACTCGCCGCATCGCCGCTCGTCGTCGCGATCGCCTGCCCGCCGCCGCCGCCGACTCCACCTCCCGCCTCGCCGCCCTGCTCTTTGCCGCCCGCGCCGCCGCCCGCCCCACCGCCGCCCGCCCCACCGCCGCCCGCCCCACCGCCGCCCTCCTCGCCGCCGCCCGCCTCACCGCCCGCCCCACCGCCGCTCTCGCTGCCGCCCGCCTCGCCGCCCACCCCACCGCCGCCCGCCTCGCCGGACGGGGTGCGGTGCTGCAGCAGCGTCAAGGGCGACGCCAGCTCGACCAGCTCCAGCGCGCACAGGTCGTCGTCGAGCCTCTTGGCGTCGGGGTCGGCGCCCTCCTGCAGCAGCCGCAGGATCACGTCGACGTGCGCGTCCGTCTCCAGCGCCGCCGCCGCGCATAGCAGCGGCGTGAGGCCCGCGTGGTCGGTCGCGTTGACGGCGCACCCCGCGCCGAGGAGATACGACACGACCTGCGGGTGACCGCCGCGGCTTGCGAGGTGCAGCGCGGTGCTGCCGTCCGAGCAGCAGCAGAGCGCCTATTCCCCGAGATTCCCCGAGATTCCCCGAGATTCCCCGAGATTCCCCGAGGTTGCCGTCCGAGCAGCAGCACAGCGCCTCCGCGCCGGCGGAGACGAGGAGGCGCACCACCTGTGGCGATTCGGCTGGTGATTCGGCTGGTGAGGTAACGTCCTCCACACACACTCGAGGGGGTGGGGGGATCAAAGGGCCTTCTCGCAAGGCTCCACTCCCAGACAGGCGAGCAGGCAGGCAACACCCCCCAGTGCACATTCAAAGTCAGAGTGCGACGCCCGGCGCACGGACAGTGTGGAGTACCAGAGCCTGTCGAGGACTGGTGGCGTCCCTCGCCAGGCTCCCTAGCTCAACCGACGACTCTCGTGCCTCGCCTCGGGATTTACGGCCGATCGTCCTCCCTCTCGCCAGATCGCGCCATGCCTCTCCGTCTCGCCAGATCTCGCCATGACCTCGAGATGCCCGTGCTCGGCAGCGAGGACGACCCCACTCACGCCGTCGTGGCTTCGCGCGTCCGGCTCCGCGCCCGCCTCGAGCAGCAAGCGGACAATCTCGGCGTGGCCTAAGGCGAGGGAAGGGAAGGTGCACTTCTCCACACACACGCAAGGCGGTGGGGCAAGGGGGGAGCAGGGGGGAGCAGGGGGGGGAGCAGGGGGGAGCAGGGGGGGAGCAAGGGGAGCAGGGGGGGAGCAAGGGGAGCAGGGGGGGGGGGTCGACGGCGCCTCGACGCGACGCGCACATGAGCGCCGTGTTCCCTCCCTGCGCCGAGCGGGTGGCGACGCTCGCCCCGGCGCGCAGCAGCACCTACACAGCAAAAGACATGTTGCTGCAGTCGTGCCGTGCGAGTGGTCGAGCTCCGCCTAGAAAAAAGAAAAAAGACGGCGCGCGCCTCCACCACGGCGCGGTGCCCCAGCCAGCAGGCCCACATCAGCGCCGTCCACCCCGCCTCGGCATCGGCTGCCTGCGTGGGGAATGGTGAGCTCACTAGCTAGAGCTCGCACTAGATGCCGTCCTCGCATTCGCCTTCCTGGGACCCAGCGCTGGCTTCTGACTGCCGCCGCTGTCTCTCCCTTCCCGACGGTCTGTGCTTGCTTGTGCGTCTTGGGTCCGGGGTTGTGTGTTTGTGTGGATACGCCAGCCTCGGGGCGGGGAGGGGCAGTGGTCGTGCAGAGTACTACTCGGAGCACCGCGTGAGGACGAGGGGCACACGAGGACAACGAACACCGCAGGAATACGGCGGACTGCATCCAAATACGTGCCCTCTCGAGCGCTGGTTGGAGTCGAGCTAGAATGCGATCTCCGCTTCTCGAGATCGGAGGGGAGGGAGAGAGAGAGAGAGAGAGAGAGAGAGAGAGAGAGAGAGAGAGAGAGAGAGAGAGAGAGAGAGAGAGAGAGAGAGAGAGAGAGTCAGAGAGAGTCAGAGAGAGAGAGAGAGCCTCGATCCAGCCCGGAGGCGAGGACCACGGTCGATCGCGCCACGGGCCCGCGCTGACGGGCGGCTCGACCGCCGGCGCTGCGCCTGGGGGGGGAGTAGGGCGAGGAGGTTGAGGTGGGGGGGGGAGAGGAGAGAGAGGGGGGGGGGGGCAGGGGGAGGAGAGGAGGGGGAGAGGAGAAGCTCCGAGCCTGCGGGAGGGACGGCGAGATCTGGCCCCAAGGTGTGTGGCGAGGCACATGGCGAGATCTGGGGAGATCCGGGGAGATATGGGCGCGGCCGGGGGACTGCGGTGCCGGGAGAGATGACCACGGCCTCTGCCGGCGCGCTCAGCCCGGTGCTAAGATCGGAAGTGCCGGCAGCCTCCTCCGACGCCCCTTCCGCCGCCCCTTCCGCCGCCCCTGCCGCCGCCCCTGCCGCCGCCCCTTCCGCCGCCCTTGCCGCCGCCCTTGCCGCCGCACCTGCCGCCGGCGGCGGCGGCGGCACGGCGCGACGTGCCAGCGGCTCGCTCATGGCGCCGCGCGGGGGCACTGTCACCGCACCTCCACCGCCGACCGACGCCTCGCCCCGCCGCAGCGCGAAGGACTGCCTCCGCTGCATCTCCACCGCCTCGGTGACGACCTCGAAGACCGTCGGCAGCTTCGCGCCGTGCCTGCAGAGCAGGTAAGGTAAGGTAAATTTAAACTTCTCCACACACACGAGGTGGTGGGGCAAGGGGGGGCGACCCTCGCGTCTCCACGTCTGACGACAGGAGCCCCACGGCATTCAAAGTGCAAGGCCCAGTGCGCGTGGGTGAGCGGTGTGTGTGTGTGTGTGCGTGTGTGTGTGTGACCTGCGGAGCAGCCGCCGTATGCGCAGCGCGTCGCCCGCCTTCGCGGCGCCGAGCAGGGTGAGCGAAGCGGCGGTCAGCTGCCACCGCCGCTTGGGCGTGTGGATCGAGAGGCCCGGCACGTACGGCGTCTCGCGTGCCAGCTCTTGGCGGAGGACGCCCCACAGCCTGCCGACTTCGCCGAGCGCCGACTCGATCGGCGACGCGGGGCTCCCTCGGCCACTGAGGCGGCCGGGCGACAAGCCGCCGGGAGAGACGCGGCCGAGCCGGTCGCCGTCGGGCGGCGTCCCAGCTCCGGCGCGCAGCCGCCTCTCCGCGCGCAGCACGCGCTTGGACTTGCCCGAGCGGCCTGTGCTCACGCGTCCCGTTCGCTGCGTTCCTTCGTGCTGCACGACAGCACCGTCGCCGCCATGAAGCTGCTCGGGCGGGACTCCCACGCCGGAGCTGGGCGGCTCAGGGTCCTCTGGCAGCCTCTTGGGCGATTCGGGCGTGTCCGGGAGGCTGTTCAAGTCAGATCGCGAGCTGCTCGAGCACCGCATCAATGCTCTTGTGACTGAAGCGCCAAGAAAAAGATTCTGCGTGCGGTCTACGCCCACTCAGGATGTGGGGCAGCCCGCTGGCTGTGTGTCTTGTGAGCTTGTTTGTGTCTGTGTGTCGCTCGTGCGTGTCGTCATCATCTGTCCAGCGTCCACCCATACCGCGTCGGTGTCCAGTCCGAGCCTGACTGTTCTTCACCTTCCTACATATGTATGTTAGCAGGGAGGTGATGAGGAGTCAGTTATGCGCGGCGGGCGGTTAGACGTTACGGACGGGGCGAATCGAACGTTCGGAGGCTTCGGAGGTGCGGAGCGTGTCTCATTGCGTCAGGCCCACGACCGACACCCACCGGAGCGTGGCGGTGGCGCAGGGCCTGAGTGTTTGTTTTTCCTTTCCGAGCCTGCATTGTTCGGTATCGGTAGGTGGTAGGAGGCACAATTAGTTTCATATTCATACCTGCGCCCCGCAGGAGATCTCTCTCTTGCGGTGCGGTGGGGCGGGGCGGGGCGGAGCGGGGTGGGTCGGGTCGGGTCGGGTTGGGGCGGGGTTGCTCGGGTCGGGGTGGGGCCGGGTCGTGCGGTGGGGATGTTGGGGTGGGGTAGGGCGGGCGCCGGAGTGGGAGTCGTGTGACTGCTCCTGTGGTGAAGCCGTCGCCCGCGCCTTGTCTGTCGCGGAATCGGGCTGTGCGGATTCTTTTGTCTGGGGTGGGGAGTGGGTGGGCGCCGGAGCGGGAGTGGTGTGACTGCTCCTGTGGTGCGGGCGACGGCTTCTGAGGAAGCTGTCGCCCGCGCCTCGCCTGCCTGTCGCGTGAATCGTGTCGTGCGACCGCCTTTTGTTGTAAAATTCTTTTGCCTTGTGTTACATGTAGTGCCAGTGCGCGCCAGTCCCGTGCCCAATTTAGAGTTTTGTTGCAAAATTCTTCTCCCACGTAAGATGCAAGAATTCTTCTTTTCCCTCCCGGGCAGTTTCCTACTCGCAGAATGTGGGTAAACGAAAGTACCGTATTCGGTACTATCAAGAAAGACACCGAAAAAAGTCGCCGCGGCAGTCCACGACGAGCCAGCCTGCTGCCGGCTCGCACGGCAGCCTCTTCCTATGGACCAGCCTCGACTTCCATACAGTCAACATTTTGTCGCTGCGTGCTCGTGGCGAGCTGTGGCGGCGGTCGAAGTTGGCCCAGATTCGGTGACGAGCGCCGGACGATAGTACCGCCTCTGTTCGCCCTGTGCATGTCAGGCCAGGCTGCAGCAGGGCACTACCAACGTGCTGCCCTGTTGCAGCCTGACTTTGCCCACTGTGCACAGTCGCCAGAGCACCACCACCGCCCGGCATCGTGTCACGGCGAGCTCCTTCTGCGCCCGCTCGCGAGGCTCTCGCGCTGGCACACTTTGGCCATCTGCTGCTCGCGTTCGGCGAGCTCTTCTCCGCACTCCTGCCACGGTGCCGTCACCACACACCTTCTGGCTGGCCTGAGCCGCGCGGGGTCGCCGGCGGGGGCAACGCGTCGACCTCTCTCTCTGGTGCACCACGGGCCGCAACGGCCTGCTGGCACCAGCGTGCGCGAGGAGGCAGTGTGCCGGCACAGTCGAGCCGGAGCATCGGGTTCTTGATGCTTCTGGGGTCAAGTTTGACCTTATGTGGCATAATATGCAACAATAATGCGACGTTATCTCCCGGCTTTTTGAGATATGATCCCTCAAAGTCGAATTTTCGTTTACTGGTGACCATAGTACCGTCTGTCCGGTTTGCGTTTCTTCAAACGAAACACTTTAAGTCTCGACAATCCCTAAGCTGCTTATGTGGCACCGCAGAGGCTCCCTTGGGGATGCCTGAGGCCACCCCAACCACTCACTAAGCCGTACGTAGACCAATTGGGCGCTACTTTTTTCGTTTACCCACATTATGCGAGTAGAGCTCTCTCCGCATCGCGGCACGTTGGAGAGTGCACGATGAGCCTGCTACTCGCCGCCTCCGCCAGCGCCGCAGCATTCCTCGTTCCTCACGCCACGCACCCGCTCGCCCTTGCCGGCCGCTCGCGGCGGGCAGCAGACGCTGTGAGTACAATAGCAGTCTTTGGTGCGTCGGGTCGCACTGGCAGCGAGGTGGTGCTTCAGGCGCTGGAGCGCGGCGAGGAGGTCAGCTGCCTAGTCCGCGATCGAATCCGGTTGACGGCGCCACGAGACCATGCCGAGATGGACCTCCGCAAGGGGTCGATGCACAATTTCAGCCCCTATATGAACGACAAGATGGTAAGGACGGAGGGTTCGGTGCTCAACCGCGCGGATGTGGATGACGTCTTCGATGGCAACAATATCACGGGCGTGGTCGTCGCGCTCGGTGGCAAGACACGGGAGGTCGGGCCGACGCTGCTTTTCGATGGCACGACCCACATAATTGCGGCGTGCAAAGCGCACGGCGTCAAGCGCATCTGCGTTGTCTCGACTGTTGGGGCGGGCGACTCCATGGACCAGGCGCCATGGACCTTCAAGCTCCTGATGAAGACGATGATGCAGAAAATCATGGACGACAAGAATGCGCAGGAGGGCCTCTTCTTGGACGGGCCCGGCGCCGACCTTGAGTTCTGTATCGTGCGCCCCGGCGGCCTCAAGCAGGGCGCTCCGACCGGCATCGTGAACGTGATCGATGGCGAGGCAGGTGCCATCAACCGTGCCGACCTGGCGGCGTTCTGCTTGGATGCGGTCCTCGATCCCGACTTCGCGCATCTCCAGCAAGCAGTCTGCATCTCGAGCGATATGGGCAGCGGCTTCAAAAGCCTGATGTCTGACAAGACGATGTCACGCATGGGCTCGGAGCTGGCGCGCCCACTTGAGGACGCAAACCCGTTTGGGTTTTAGTGCTGGCGTCGATCGATGGCCGCGGCCGTGGGCGAAGCGAGTGGCTTCTAGTTTAGTGTCTCGCGTGCGCGCACGCCCATGTCGCATGTGGATGTGCCATGACCGCGCCGCTCGCGACGCGTCACGCGAGGTAAGCAATATTACTTCCATATTGTACTGTTCGGTAGCCCAGGCATGGTGTTTGTGTACGCTCAGGACTGCTGGTTGGGGCGCACATTAGGTGGGACACACGGTCACGAGCTCTCTGCCTCAAGACACTATCTGTCTCCCGTTTCCGTCGAGACTCTCGCTGATCCGTCACCTCACGGCGCCGCCCCCCCTCGCCTGCTCGTCCGCCCGCAAAACCTCAGCGGTGAGCCTCTCCTCCACTCGCCGTCGGATGAACTGCTCCTGCCGCGTGCCGCCGCTCGCGTCGCCGGGCGGGCCGGCCGCGTCCAAATTAGCCTGCGGAAGAGGGGGGAGGGGCTGAGGAGAGGTGGTGTGCGGGGCGGAGCGGCGCTAGTCTGCGGGGGGGCGGCGCCTGGGAGAGTGGCTAGGGCTTACGGCTAGCAAGGCGTCTCGGCCTGCGAGTCTGCCGCCAGTATGCAGAGCGACACGGCGACAGAGATGACCCACAGCCGCGTCCACTCCCGGCTAAGCACCTCGATGTCGCCGGCGATGTCACGGCCGCGCCTCTCGAACCACAGCCCGCGCGGCTTGGAGGCGGGCGCCGCGAGGCGCTCCGCGGCGCGGCCCTTTGGGAGACGGAGAGCCTCCTCGTCCTGAAGAGTGAAACTAGTCGACTATGGTTGTCTGCCCACTGTCTCTCGCACTGTCCGTGTGCGTGCGATCCGGGCCCTGGATATGGTGAAATGAGACGCGTGGCGGCGGCGACTGGAGTGGTGTGCAGCGATCCGTACTCCGCATCTACGCTCCTCGTCCTCTGTCTGCCCGTCCCAGTCATACGGGCGGGCCTCCTCCTCCTCCAGCAGACCGCTCGCCTCCAGAGGCTGAAGCGGGCGGTCGTACCGTGAGTTGGCGTGCTCGCCGGGCATCACGAAGAGGTCCCAGCTCGCATCCGACAGCGCGTCTGACAGCGCGTCCCAACTGGGCAAAGGCCCCGAGGCTGGCTCGCGATCGCTGCCATCCATGACACTGCAGAGCCGCCTGCGGCCGCTCGTGGCAGGCACGGACAGCGGCGACGGCGCTGTTGCGCGGAGACCAAAGTAAAACAGCATCTACGCTCCTCGTATGGGCTAGCGGAACAAGCCCTTGCCGCGAATCGGGCGTGCATTTCGAATTCCACTGCGTATATATATAATTCCACTTCCCCTCATCAGGCATCGCTGTGAATAAAGCCTGTTCACCTGCAGTGGGCACACCGTGCGCCCGACGGGGACATCCAAGCGCAGGCCCCGCACGCGGCCCTGCTGCCCTCCCGTCGGCTGAAATCGACCAGGCCCATCGCCGTGGACCCACCGGCGACTGCGGCGGCCCTAGCACCGGCCGATTGTTTGAGCGATGGCCTGTGCTGCGGCCATCTCGGACGTTTAAGCGGCGCCAGCCAGCGGCTCGGCCGCGCATCCTTCACACACGCCGCCACGACCGGGACGAGCGGCCCCGGTGTCGAGCCATGGTGTGAGCTGCATGTGCGCGGCGGCCGTGGCGACAGCAGGTCCACCAGACGGACCTCAAAGCTTGCCGTCGGCGTGCTGTCGTGGCGAGAGCGCGAGACAGCTGCAGAGGAGCCGAGTGCAGTGGCGAGCCAGAAGCTACCTGGGTCACCAAGTGGTAGCCCTTGCCCATTCTGACCAGGGCTGTGCTTTGGTGGGGTTGTGCTTGAGCGTGTGTGAAGTGGGAGTGCGTGCCGGCGGTGTCTGTGGGTGAAACAGGCGTGTGTGAGGCCGTAAGAGCCGTGGTATGAGCCAGAGTGGGCTTCATCACCCAAAATAAGGACGGTTTGGGACAGCTCAGACTTGATACTGATGGGCCTGGGCCAGGAGAGCGACAGAGAAGGCGAGGTGGTGAGCTGAGAAGCTGCATTGTCCGCGCCTAAACTTGTCGCGAAGCACCTGCCACGAAGCGCTATTTCCTGCTCTCAGGTCACCACCTCGCATTCTCTGTCGCTCTCCTGGCCCAGGCCCATCAGTAGCAAGCCTGAGCTGTCCCAGACCGCACTTATCTCGGGTCTTCAAGCTCACACCGGCTCGTGATGCTCCGGTGTAGGCGCTCGAGAGCACTCCCGGTGGCCCGTGCCGAGCGATTGTGAGGGCTTTACGGAGGTCATTGTCGGCGCCACCGACCGTGAAATGTCCCGATCCACAGTCCTCATGCACCAGACGCATGGATGCAGTCATAATATGTAGGCCTTCTCTCCAAATGTTTTGAGCAATAGCCGCAAAAGGCGCTTCTTGGCACTTTTCATCGCGACACGTCCAGGTGCAGACAAAGCGGCTTCCCAGCTCACCACCTCGCCTTCTCTGTCTCTCTCCTGGCCAAGCCCCATCAGTATCAAGCCTGAGCTGTCCCAAACCGCCCTTATCTTGGGTGATGAAGCCCACTCTGGCTCATACCACGGCTCTTACGGCCTCACACACGCCTGTTTCACCCACAGACACCGCCGGCACGCACTCCCACTTCACACACGCTCAAGCACAACCCCACCAAAGCACAGCCCTGGTCAGAATGGGCAGGATCCACCACTTGGTGACCCAGGTAGCTTCTGGCTCGCCACTGCACTCGGCTCCTCTGCAGCTGTCTCGCGCTCTCGCCACGACAGCACGCCGACGGCAAGCTTTGAGGTCCGTCTGGTGGACCTGCTGTCGCCACGGCCGCCGCGCACATGCAGCTCACACCATGGCTCGACACCGGGGCCGCTCGTCCCGGTCGTGGCGGCGTGTGTGAAGGATGCGCGGCCGAGCCGCTGGCTGGCGCCGCTTAAACGTCCGAGATGGCCGCAGCACAGGCCATGCGTCGCGCCGCCGGCCAAGCCCAGCCTCTCGGCGGACCCCGGCCGTGCCAGAGGCAGCCCAGGTGGCGCGTGGGGCCGCGGCTCGGCGCTGGGAGCGCGCACGGGGCCGTCCTCCAGTCAGGCCGACCACCTGTAACGGCCGACCCCCTGTGAAGAGAGCTTGGATGTCCCCTCGTCCAGCACGCGAAGTCCCACTTTGGCATGCTCGTGCTCGTCGCCATCTTCGTCTTTTTTGCTCATTCTTCTTGCGCGTCCCAGCGGCCCTAGTGCCACCAGCAAGCAGCCGGCTGCACGGGGCGAGAGGGTGCGTTTGAACGACCTTTTCAAAGGTGTGAAAAACAGGTGAACAGGCTTTATGAGCATTCGCAGGCCAGGCCACAGGTGCCAGCCGCACTGGCGGTGCTCTCGCTCCCTTCCTCGCCGCCACGCCGACTGGCGGCTCGTCGCGGGCGGCCAGGTGATCGGCTAAAGCGCAGACGTCGGGCTTGGCCTCCGTCGCCGCTCAGATGGACGGCTGTTGGTGGTGCGGGACCACGACCTGGTCTCGCAAGGGCGGTGAGGCGGCCAACGGGCTGCCCGCCGTGGCTCTAGAGCGAGGAGAAGCGCTCGGTCCGGCGTCTCCGGCGTCGACGCGCATCCATAAGGACTGCGCGGCGGCGGTACGCAAGAAAGCTTCTGCGCTCGCTGCTGAGGAGCATGCTGCTCCGCCGGCAAGAAGCACGCGCTCCGCTGTCGAGACTGCGCGTCCCGACGGCAAGCGCCCCGCTGTCGGCGGCTGGGCGACGGTGTCGAGGCCGGGCGCTAATTTAGGCTTGCCGCCGCCCGGCAAGGCGCAGCGGACCGACGCACTCGATCGGATGGAGGAGGACCCGTCGCCGCCGCCTCGTCCGCCGCCGCCTCCCGCTCCCGCAGGAGAGTTCATTTTGTAAACGGCGTGCATTTTTCTGCATTTTTCAAACATGTGGCTGGGTCGACCGCGCCCACAGCTACGCCGCGAGCGCGATGTGCAAACCTCTCTCAGGTAAACTCTGCCGTCCCTAGCGACCATCCACTCCCCGTGCTCCCGACCCCGCCCCAGGGTTCGTGAGTGAATTTTCACACTTTCACTTTCACATGTGAATTCATGTGAATTTCACATGAAACGTTTCGGCCGCCCCCGTTTCTCACTGAAAATTTCACAAGTTCGACTACTTTCGAAGGCTCTGGCATCTCCGAGGCGGCAGCGGCGGAGGCGGCAGCAGTCGAGGCGGCAGCGGCGGAGGCGGCACAGCGGAGAGAGCGGCGGTGCGCCTACCACTGCCGGCACCGGTAGGGATCTCTGTGCCACCAATGCCGCGCGTTCCTGCTTCCCTGCAGCGAGGCCGTGGTCAAGGCCGTGGTCGTCCCCAAGGCTCAAAGAGCAGGGGCCCGCCCTCACTGCATCAAAACGCGGTGAAAGCAAGGAAGTGTAGAAAGGAAAGAGCCCACAATAACTCTAGCGAGAGGAGGTGCAGCTTGGTTCGTGTCCTCGGGCGCTCGAGGACGTGTGTGTTGCCTCAATGTTCTTTTAATGCGCGCCCCCGCCGAAATACACTGCAAATACACCATACACGCGAGATGCGTCGGCAGCGACGCGCACGACCTCTTAAGAAGCACCGTGTCGTTAGGATTAGGGTTAGGGTTAGGGTTAGGGTTAGGGTTAGGGTTAGGGTTAGGGTTAGGGTCAGAGAGCGTTCAAGCCGTTGTGCAGTCCTAAGAGAATGGTCCGGTTTGGGCCGAAACCAAATGGAGGAATCAGCGGTCCGTCGACACGAGCTCTCGGTGAATGCTTTGGGTTCTTCGGGCTAGGGTTAGGGTTAGGGTTAGGGTTAGGGTTAGGATTAGGGTAAGGGGTTGGTTGTCGTCGCGCGCTCTCGATATCTGGCTAAGACAGAGACACAGCAGCAGAGGCGACCCAAGCGACACATCAGAGCATGGATGCTTGGGGGCGCGAGCCGCCATCTTGGACTGTGAGGCGAGTATTTGCAACCGGGAGCTCGCCGCCGCCCCTACACCGCCGCCGCCGCCCTCCCGGTGGCAAATAATAGCCCAAGTCGAAGAGTGCGCCCCGCCCTCGGTATCTGGGCGGCAGGCGGGACTAGAGTGGCACGCTGGTGCACGGATGGGGGCGCGAGCCGCCATCTTGGACTGTGAGGCGAGTATTTGCAACCGGGAGCTCGCCGCCGCCCCTACACCGCCGCCGACGCCCTCCCGGTGGCAAATAATAGCCCAAGTCGAAGAGTGCGCCCCGCCCTCGGTATCTGGGCGGCAGGCGGGGCTAGAGTGGCACGCTGGTGCGCGGATGGGGGCGCGAGCCGCCATCTTGGACTGTGAGGCGAGTATTTGCAACCGGGAGCTCGCCGCCGCCCCTACACCGCCGCCGCCGCCCTCCCGGTGGCAAATAATAGCCCAAGTCGAAGAGTGCGCCCCGCCCTCGGTATCTGGGCGGCAGGCGGGGCTAGAGTGGCACGCCGGTGCACGGATGGGGGCGCGAGCCGCCATCTTGGACTGTGAGGCGAGTATTTGCAACCGGGAGCTCGCCGCCGCCCCTACACCGCCGCCGACGCCCTCCCGGTGGCAAATAATAGCCCAAGTCGAAGAGTGCGCCCCGCCCTCGGTATCTGGGCGGCAGGCGGGGCTAGAGTGGCACGCTGGTGCGCGGATGGGGGCGCGCGCCGCCATCTTGGACTGTGAGGCGAGTATTTGCAACCGGGAGCTCGCCGCCGCCCCTACACCGCCGCCGCCGCCCTCCCGGTGGCAAATAATAGCCCAAGTCGAAGAGTGCGCCCCGCCCTCGGTATCTGGGCGGCAGGCGGGGCTAGAGTGGCACGCCGGTGCACGGATGGGGGCGCGAGCCGCCATCTTGGACTGTAAGGCGAGTATTTGCAACCGGGAGCTCGCCGCCGCCCCAGGACTGCTTTGAGGAGTTTTACCGCGGGTTTGGCGTCGAGCCTTGGCTCTGGCGCCGGGCGATGCGGGAGGGCTGGTCAGAGCTGGGGGACTTCTCGCGAGAGGAGATGGAGGCGGCGGAGGAGGAGATGCGGCGGGGCGATAGTATTGCTGCCTATGGGCTTCAGATCTCTCAGCTAGGCGAGTGGTGCTGCGACGATTGCCTGGAGGGCTATTTGGGGGGGGGCTTTGGCGACTACTCGGAGCTGCGCAGAGGGAGAGCGCCGTATTCGAGTAACCCCTGGATAGGGCGTGCCCGCGACTTGTCGTGGATGCGCCAGGGGCCCATCGCGGTGACGCAGAGGGAGCGGTTGCTGGCGGAAGAGCGCGCGGAGGCGGCGGCAGCGCGGGCGGCGCGGGGGAGTGGGGGGGGTGGCGGCGGGCGGCGGTCCCGCGATGGCCGGCGGCGGGAGGCCCGCAGCGCGGCAAGGTGGGCTCGGGGGGTGGAGTGCGACGAGCGAGCGATTGAGCGCGCTTTCGAGGGGAGGGGGGAAGAGCGGCCGGCCAGGTGGGCCGGTCTCTTCGACGGCGCCTAAGGGGTTGCCGTCTGCTGTGCTCCTTTTGGTACCTGTGTCGAACCTGTGTCGGTGAGAGAGAGTTCTTCTTTCTTGAATTCTTTTTCTGGACGCTGCCACCGCCCCAACCAGACACCACCGCGGCACTGCCTTGATGGCGCATGGCAAAGCCGCCCTGTTCGCCTTGGCGCATCGTAAAGTCGCCCTGCTCGCCTTCCGCTCCGCGCCTCGTCAGCTGCCGGCGCTCGGCACGAGGCCACTGTGCCTGCAGGCTCCGGGCGGCGGCTCCACTCGGGCCAAAAATCTGTGGGACGGCGGCGGCGAGGCGACCGCCGTTACGCCAATTTCAGGCCAGTTTGGCGGGCCGTCTGCAGCTGCCGAGCGCTTCGCAAAGGAGAGCACCGCCGCCGCTTACGCACTGCAGAGCCCGCCGTCGCCGTCAGGGCCCAGCATCGGCCTCCCTGAGAACTGGTGGCACGGGTCTGGGGATGCCGCGCCTCCAGAGCATTCTGACATGGGCACGGCGAGCCTAAGCTCGGTGCTGACCGGCTCCGTGCAGTCGCTGTGGATCACGGAGCTGTGCCGGACGATGTCGCTGACCTTCCTGATGTTCTGGAAGGAGAAGGTGACGATAAACTACCCCATGGAGAAGGGCGCGCTCGCTCCCAACCCTCCCCCATGCCGCGCGCTCGCGCATCGAGCCTTGCTGGGTGACGCTCCTGCCCGATCCCAGGCGCCCTCTCGCCGCGCTTCCGCGGGGAGCACGCGTTGCGCCGCTACGCGACCGGCGACGAGCGCTGCATCGCCTGCAAGCTGTGCGAGGCGATCTGCCCGGCGCAGGCAATCACGATCGAGGCGGAGGTGCGGCCGGATGGCGCGCGCCGCACGACGCGGTACGACATCGACATGACCAAGTGCATCTACTGCGGCTTCTGCCAAGAGGCTCGCCGCCCATCTCAAGAGAGATGCGGGAGATTACCACTTTCAGCTCCAGCGCGTGGAGGCGTTCGCCTTGCCCTGAAAAACCCTAGGCGTGCCCCGTCGACGCCATCGTTGAGGGCCCGAACTTTGAGTACGCGACCGAGACGCACGAGGAGCGAGCCCATCTGAAGGCGTGGTCTCTCGGGGGATCCTCGGCGGGCACATCTCGGACACCTCGGCTGTAGGAGCTGCTTTACGATAAGCAGAAGCTGCTGGAGAATGGCAACAAGTGGGAGACGGCCATCGCGGCAAACATCGCCGCCGAGTACGTCTATCGATGACGGTGGGGCACGCGCGTGCGAACTCTGAGTTGCTAGCTCTCCCTCCGGGACCCGGCTACGTTTCATCTCACGCCACACAGAGAGAGCTATTCTGCGCGTGAGATCTGACTACTGAGTCCGCGCGCGGCACTCGCGCTGGACACGCTGCGTCGTGCGTGCCGTGTGCGCCGTAGTAGATTACAATTTAGAGTTACAATGCACACACGCGCGTCTCTGCGTCTCTCTATTGAACTATTCAATCACAGGTGTACCACACCTCAGATGCGCCTGCACCTCCGCCCCAGCCGCCCCAGCCGTCGCAGCTGCTGATGCTGGCGCGCACACGGTGAACAAACACGGCCTGTGGGCCCTCGCGCGCGTATCTGGCCGCAAGTGTGCTGAGGGCGCGCCGGAAGTCGTCGCGCGACGCAAAGTTGCGCACAGAGAGCAACGTGTCGCGGCGTGACAGCGCGTTGTCGACGTACTGCTGGTACAGCTGCGTCAGCCGCACGTCCCCACTCTCGCTCAGGAGGAGAGCAAATAGCTCCGGAAGCATGCTGTCGTTCCAAACAAAGGCGGCGGCTCCGGCGGGTCGCCAGTTCGCCGCGCAGCCTACGTCGCGGCAGCCAACCGTCCCCATCGCCAAAGACGCCTGAGGCCCCTCGACAGATATGCGTCGGTAAGCCTCTGTCACTGATTTGAACTGCCGCTCGGCCTCCTCCGGGCTGCTCCGGTTGTGGTCTGGATGCGTCTTGAGTGCCATTCTGCGGTACGCCTCTTTGATCTGGAAGCTGGTGGCTCCTCGCTCGACACGGAGGATGGCATATGGGTCTGCGGCCGAGGAGAGGGACCGGCACCGTCGAGGGCGAATGCGAAGGGCAGCAGGGGCGCGGAGCATCGAACACAATGTAGCAGTAGGAGTAGGAGCAGGAGCGTGGCAGAGGGACAGCAGTAGACAGGGTCGGCCGGGTGGTGTGGAGCGTCTGGCGGGACACCCCTTGAGCACTGGCGGATAAATAAAGAAATGAATGATTAACGCGCGTAACGCCTCTCTACTGCATATCCTATGCGAGAGAGATCCCCTGTGCCCTGTGCCCAGCCCTCTCCGCGCGGCGATGCGCCCTCCCCCCTCGCTTTTGCAAAATCCTGCAAAGGTGGGGACGTGTCTGTCCTCGACCCAGCCCTAGCTTGGGATGTCCGTTGTATTTATTTATTTATTGAGGTGGGTAAAAAAGAACAGGTCCCCGCCCTTGCGATCTTTGTGCAGGGTTCTTTGTGGGGTCGATTCCGCATCGGGTGGGACCCCTCGATCGTCTCGCCCTCCCTCACTGGACAAGGCCTGGAGTCAACTGTCGGGGGCTAGGGATTCCCCTCTCGTATAGGACAAAGTTGCACCCGGCGGCACGGGGGCAGGCGCGGGCCTCCTACTGGTTGCGCTCTCCTAGTTCTCCTGCTACTGACAAAAGGGACAGCGACAGGTTCGCAGCACGGTGGACTCCCTATTCCACTGGCGATCTCTCTCCGACTAGCGACCTTCCTCCGGCTTCTCACTGGCAGTCTCTCACTATCACGGGCACACTGACAGAGGCGGCGGCCAAGACTCACAAAGAGCACTGTTAATATTTGTTTTTTGAAGTACATTTTTTTGTGACCCACACACGACCTGCTCTGGCGGCGGCGCGTCTCTGTGGCTTCGTGGGAGTACGCACACACACAGAGAGCCCCCGCCCCCCGCCGCCGCCGGATGGGTCTGCGCTCCGTGGCCCAGCAAGCGTCCGACGCGGGGCGGCAAAGCCGCCGTGTCGCGAAGCAGCCCACCACTGCGCCTCTCCACCTGCGCGCCCCACGCGCCGCCACTTTCTGCTTCCCCGCCGCGCATTCCCCATCTCTCCTGACTCGCGTCAGCCCCGTCCCGCCTACGTTTACTCTTGTGTATGCTGACGCGGCTCACCCTCGCCTCTCCCCGTCAAAAGGAGCTCTCCACGCTATCGAGCGAGCGAAGCCCGAGGCCGCCATGAGCCTGGTCGACGAGCCGGGCCGGCTGCTACAAGAAGAGGCTGCTGCAGTGCGACGCGCAGAGGCATTGCTAGTCCAGAAGAAACCGCTCAAGCCTGCCAGCGGCGCGATGGCTCCGCCTGCACTGTCGTCTCGCAGCGGCGAGCCTCCGCGCAAGGCGAAGCCCGCGCAGCCGGAGGCACTTCCGCCGCTGATCGACGACTCACAGCTGCTCGAGGCTGTGACGCGACAGGGCGGCTACGAGCAGGTCGAGAACAAGCGAGCCTGGTCAGTCGTTGCCAAGGCGCTTGGCCGGCGCGCCAAGGACGTGCAAGAGCTCAAGAAGAGGTACGAGGAGATGCTCCTAGCGACCAACGAGGCGTGGCTGCGGGGCGAGGATGCGGGAGCAGCGGACGACACTGACAAGGACGGCGCGGAGGGGGTGGCTTCAAAGAGCGCGGGTGCGGCCGCTTCCTCTCGCCGGGCCGACCGCAAGAGCCCTGCAGATGCGGTGCTACCGAGCGAGAAGGGGTCGGGCGCGAGTGGAGCGGGCGGACGCCAGCGACCGGCCAACAAGAGCAAACCGCCGAAGAAGCCGGATCCCGCCCCCCCGACCAAGCCGAGCAGGGCAGCTCCGGCAAAGCAGCCGGATCTCGCCGCTCCGGCCAAGCCAAAGAGGGCGCCTACTCCATTGCCGAGCGGGCGGTTGCTGTGAAACGTGCCTCTTCACGCGTCAAGCTGCGAGTAGGCGGCTGCTCCCGCGGCTCCCTCGGCACCCTCTCCATCGAAGGATACGAAGGCAAGCGGGGGCAAGGCGAGCAAGGCACGCAAAGCCAAGGAGGAGGCGGCAGCAGAGGCTGCGCGCAAGGCGGCGGGGGAGAAGGCGGCTGCGGAGGCGGCGGCTGCAGCGGAGGCTGCGGCAGCAAAGGTAGCTGCGGCGGAGGCTGCGGCGGCAGAGGCTGCGGCGGCGGAGGCTGCGGCGGCGGAGGCTGCGGCGGCGGAGGCTGCGGCGGAGGCGGCAGCGGCGGAGGTCGCAGCGGCGGAGGCGGCAGCGGCGGAGGCGGCAGCGGCGGAGGCGGCAGCGGCGGAGGCGGCACAGAAGCGAGAGGAGGCTGCGGCTGAGGCAGCACGTCGAGAGGCCGAGGCGGCTGCCAAGGCGGCGCGTCGCAAGGCCGAGGCCGAGGCGGCGGCGGCGGCAGAGGCGGCTCGGAAGGCTGCTGTAGCAGCGGAGCAGGCCAAGGTGGAGAAGGCGGCGAAGGTTGCGGCGCAAGAGGCCGCGGCGAAGGTTGCGGCGAGTGCGGCAGCAGCGAAGAAGGAGGGCCGCAAGAGCTCCGACAAGACCAGCGGCGCCGGCCGTGCTGCTGCCAAGCCCAAGGAGAGGAACCACTTGGCGCCGTCTGCCGGTGCCTCGCAGGGGAGGGCTGCGTCGGCGGCGAGGTCGGACCAGGACGACCCTTTCGCCTTCGGCGGCGATGAGGACGACCCGTTCACCTTCGGCGGCACCGACTCAGCGCAGCCGTCGAAGCGGCGCGCCTCAGGCGTCCCAAACAACGCGAAGCGAGCTGCCGCTGTGCCAAAGGCGCGGGCAGAGACGCCACCCACGCCTTCCAAGGCTGCCCGGGAAGCGGAGCCGGAGCCGCTCGGCGGGGAGCAGCGCGCGAAGCTCGCGGCCCTCAAGGTGGCCGAGCTGCGCTCGCTGCTCGAGAGCGCCGGTGTTGAGGTCACAGGGAAGAAGGTGGTCAAGGCGGAGCTGCTCCGCCGTGCAGAGGAGGCTGCCGTCGCCGGATTCCTCATGCTCGATCCCGAGCCCGCCGCAGCCACGCCACGCACAGCTGCGGCGGCCAAGGCTGCCGCTGCTGAGGCGACAGCGGCGGCCGAGGCCATCGAAGCGGCGGAGGCGGCTGAGGCGGCGGAGAAGACAGCGGAGGAGGCGGCAGCCAGACTCCAGGCCCCGCAAAGCCAGCCAGCGGTATTCACCGCACCGGTGGAGCGCAAGAGGCCCGCACTTGCTCCTGCCACCCCGGCGGCCGCTGGCGCAGCGCAGAAGGGGGCCTGCCGCAACCTTGACTGCGAGCCGGGCCAGCAAAGGCCAACGCCAAGGTGGCGTCCTCACAGCGTAAGAACCGAAAGGTCACGGAGATTATACCCGATATTACATGAGATTAGGTGCCCTCTGCAACAGGCCCGTGGCAACGGCGAGAGCTCGATGTGCCCCTCGAGCTCCCCCAAGGCCGGCGAGGGCGCGGGAGGCGCGGCAGCGCCGGCGCAGCGCCGCAAGTCGGGGCGCCAGCCTGCCGCCCGACCGTCTGGGGTGACATTCCCCGGCGGAGGCCTGGCCGGGAAGGCGGCCACACCCGACACGCCGCACTCCAAGCCGCCCGCCAAGCCCTCGCCACCCGCTACGCTACCCGCCACGCCACCCGCCACGCAACCCGCCGCGCCACGAGCTCGAAGGGGCCACAAGGCCGCTGACGTCCCGTGGCCCGCCGCCGAGGAGGCGGCCGCGCGCCAGCAGGACCAGACGTTCCACTATTATGGTGACACATCCGTGACAGGTCCACGACATGTCTTATATAGGCGGCCGCTGGCGAGCCCAGCGAGGGTGACGATCTGGGCGCCGATCGGGCTGCGATCGTCGCTCTCCTCGATGCGAAGACCGAGTACGAGCAGCGGGTCGTCGCGACGGCGCTCGAGGAGCTCTCAGCTGCCAAGACGACGGCGCTTCGCGCGAGACTCGACGCTTGCTCCGAGCTGGAGCGCGAGGCGATCGCGCTCAGCGCCGTTGAGGCTGCTCGGAGCGCAAAGGTCGCCGCTTGGTACGCCCGTTTGCTCATCATCTGCTTCAGCGAGTTGGGCGACTTGCCGCAGCCGCCCCTCGCGCACCCGGTGAGCACATACGCGCCGAACGGCGAGCCGGACCCCGAGGTCACCGGAGGCGTGCTGGCTTTTTTGCTCGGCACGTACGCGCCGGGCCACTACGCCAACTCGCTGCTGAAGCACGACAAGAAGGGGCTCGTCGTGGCAAAGTCGTTGCGCACGCTGCAGCAGGCCGCGGCGTACGAGCACGCCCTGGCCGGCGAGGACGGCTACGACCAGCTCGGCAAGCAGGTTCCGCTCTACGGCGAGACGTTCCACGAAACGGTGGACGTCTACCCGGTGCTCGCTGCGGTCCGCGCGTCGGAAGAGGCCCCTCGATTCGACACGGACAAGAAGTGCAAGGAGGCGTGCGAGAGCCTGACCGTGAAGGCCGTCGTGTCCGGCTTCCTAGCAGCTGTCTGCGAGGCGCGCACACGCCGCTCAACATATTAATAGTTACTCGTTCATGGTAGCTACTCCCTTCACGATTAACTATCACTCAATAGTACTATGCCAGCCTGAAGTTCACCGAGGTGAAGCTGGCGACGATGTCAAAGACGGCGGCCATGGGGCAGGACCTTCTGCAGGACGCGTGCGACGCGGCGGGCTTGCTGCTCACCAAGATCATGGTTCCGGGCAGCGGAGCACAGGCGGGCATGCTCGCCTCGCACTTCATCCACCCGGAGACGTCGCTGACACCGTCTTCAAACAACTTCACCATGCTCGGCGCGGCCGGGCTCGACTCGGCGTTTGCGCAACTGGGCGCGCTGCGCCTCTCCGCTCGGCAGAAGGCCGCCGCCGACAAGGCCGAGCGCCTCTCCGGCATCAAGGCGCGCGTCGAGGCGCTGCCCTCCGAGATGAAACAGGAGGATCGGGTGGCGTTCGCCGAGCTGCTCGAGTCGCGGGTCGGTGGCCTCCCGGCGCTCCTCGGCGGCGGCAGCGGCTTCTTCAAGTGAACTGCAGGTTCGCGGTGAGGGGCGCTTCGCGGCGGCTGCGCACATGTGGGTCTTGTTCTCTGTAGGGACGTCCTGTTCGAGTCCATCTCGGTCGCGTCGGCCGAGGACAAGCTTGCGGCCAAATCTACTGGGCAAGCCAAGGTACGATTCCACGGTGGCGGTCGCACGCGAGACGCAGTCCTAGCTCTGCGCCAACGCGACGTATTTTGGTAGGTTTGGAACGAACGTGATTCGGAGGTGCGGAGGGCGATCGCGGCGCCCCGGACGGCGGCGGCGGCGGCGGCCGCGGCGGACTTACGGGACGCGGACGGCGAGGAGGCGAGTGCTCGAGCTGCTCGAAACAAGAGAGACAGGGAGAAGAACGCGCAGGAGCGCGACGAGCTCCTTTGCTGCGGCGCGACGGGTTGCCCCCTCACCTTCCGCGGCAGAGGGGCCCGCGGGAAGCGGAAGCGGCATGTGATGTCGGCGGCCAGACAGGGTAGCGAAGCGCACCAGGTCTACCTCGAGAGCGACGAGTTGGCCGACCTCCCCGCAACAAGGTACAAGCCGTCCGATTTCGTCCTGTCGTTGCCGGTTCCGACGCGCACGCACGCCGAGCTGGTCGCCGACGTCGAGGCGCTCATGGAGACGGAGAGGTTCTCGCAGGACAAGCTCGCACAGCGCGTCGGAGTCGGTGCCCCGGTCATCTCAAAGTGGCTGCGCGGAAAGTACCCGTACGATGCGGGTTTGGCGTTGACGGCGATGGACCAGCGCGTCGCCGCGTACCTGCGCGACCCGACGTCGTTCGCCAAGGAGAAGGAGTCGCGGCCGAGCAAGAGGAGCCGCCGCGATGCCCCTGCCGTGTCGCGCCAATCGGCGCGAAAAGCCGAGATCGCCCGAGATGAGCCGAGATAAAGCCGAGATACGCCGATGTGCAACCGAGGTAGCCGAGATGATGAGGTAGCCGAGATGCAGTCGAGATACAGCCGAGATATAGCCGACATTCGCCGGGATGCCGCCGAGATGTAGCCGAGATGACTCCAAATTTATCCGAGGTGCAGGCGGTGGCGGGAGGCTCGAAGCGCCGCGGCGGAAAGTCCTCCCCCCCCCCCCCCCCCATTGCCTCGCACGTCCCTTACTCTCTCCTCCCTCCTCTCGTTTGCCAGGCCGGCCCACATGATCATGCACCTTTCGCCAGTGGACCGAGCCGGCCGAGCGTGCGCGGCCCAGCGGTGCCAACAGAGGGTTGGGAGGGGCGAGGGTGCCTCAGCGGTGCGGGGAGAGGTGCGGCCAGGCGCCTCCTGCGCACGAGAGGTCGAAACTCCTTGTCGTGACTCTTGCTTGACGCGGGGAGAACGGATGTCGAGAAGCTTGGGAGATGGGAGCTGGGAGGTTATGTACTGTCAAGGCGGGTCGGACTAGGGGTCGGATCCGCAGCAGCGCGCTCGCGCAGCAAACGTCAGTCGAAGATGCGTCGCCGTTGTTTATGTGGTACCCAGGGTGTCTGTGAGTCGCACACAGACGCACGTCTCTGTGGGGGGACTTTTTCTTTTTTCCAAAGCCCGGGACACGCCCGCGGTAGGGGGTGGACAGCGCCCCAAAATCCACCAGTGTGGGATTTCGCGCAATCGCTTGACTCTGAATAGCTCGCAATGTACCTTTCTGAGCGCTGTGGTCGCCGCAGACTGGCTCCGACTTGACGGCGGCATGGAGGCATGATGCCTCCATGCCGCCGTCAAGTCGAAATCGACATGCAGCTCGATGGTTTGCCCGAAAGGTACATCGCGGCGTTTTGGGCGACAACAGCGCTGCGACCGCGAAGTGGCGGTGGACATGCTCCCATGTTGCCGACGCGGCGCCGGAGTGGCCGGCGCTGCTCACCACGACCACGACGGCTACTCTGATGCTCCGGGCCGGCCCGTCCTACCCGACGGTGGCACTCTTCACGTCTCGCTCACGCTGAGAAAAAATCTGAAACGGCGTGCAGCAGAGTCACCGACGAGTCGGTCCGCGTGCTTCCTCGTGTCCCGTACCGTTCTCACACATCCATAAACTCACTTTGGCCTCACTGAAGCGATGCCTGAATCCTTAATCCTCGGATTTTAGATTAGGACGCTGTCTACCCCCTACCCGCGGCTTTTTGTGCGAATCCTGCCAGGGTGAGAGAGGGGGAGAGAGAGAGAGAGAAGTGAGAGACGATCGATCTCGCAACCGCGATTGCTGAGGCGCTGTTCACAGCTTCGGAGGTTCCTTTTGCTGCATGTGTGCGGGGTGTGTTGTCGCGATCTGCCCGGCCGTACATCCGAGCGACTGTGCAGTGTCGGGCGTCAGACGGGAGCCTTGGCTCTTAGCTAAGAAGTCGATCTGAAGATCAGCGCCCTAGCCCCCCCACCACTTGGACGCGTCCACCCTCCATCCAATATTCACCTTCCCTCTTTTACATACATATTTTTCTTCGCTCTTGAAATTCTTTTTTATCTCTCTCTGAACACACTGGATTCCTTGGCTGCACGTACCCGTGTGCGTGGACGGCTGCTTGCAGTTGTCTGGAGATGTATGCCTGAAGTGGGGCTGATGTCGCTCGAACGCGCGCTCGCCGGCTTCTGATTACATTTGCATGCTGGTGCCTCATGGCAGCCCGCAGTCTTCTGGCTAGGGCAGGTGGCGACGCTGCGCTGCAGGCTGCCAGCCTGGCTCGGTGCAGGCGCGATCGGAACCGGAGAGGCACACAACCCCCCCCGTGGCCCGTGGCCGTGGGCGCCGCGAGCGAAGGTGTCCCGCGGGTGATCGCGGTTGGCTCCCGTGTACTCTATGGAGGATTGAGCGAGAGGTCTCAAAGTGAGGATCAACCAGCTCAAAGGAAACGACCAAACATTAGAGTCACACACACACACACCGCACCGCACCGCGCGCACGCCCACCGCACCGCCTAGGTGGGAAAGAGATATGAGGAGAAGGAGCAGCCCGAAGGAGGAGCACAATCACGTATGGGAGGGGAAAGTAGATGCGCCACGGACTAGTCCACGCTGCCCCGGTGGTGTGCACGGCGTCAGAGCAGGCTGCCACCAAGAAATTGAGCAATCGAAATCTCTCTGCTGGTGCTGCTCCAGGTGCGTGGGATGTCCACATCCAGCGAGACGGTGTCGAGCGAGAAGAAGCCTTCGGGTTGAGCATCGTCCCTTTAGTCTCTTAGGTAGGTAGGTAGAAAGGTGAAGAACAGCCAGGCTCGGACTGGACACCAACGCGGTATGGGTGGACGCTGGACAGATGATGACGGCACGCACGAGCGAGTCTCTTGCCATTCGTGGTTCCCATAAAAAAATATTGTCCCCTAATAACCGCCCGTCTTCATCGGGAGACAGGATGCTGCTCTCAACCGGCGGACTCGACGGGCTCGCCGCCCTCGCAGCCGCCGTGCAACAGCAGCGCGCACACTACACTGCGCCGCCCGCTGACGAGCGACTCGCTGCACTCGACTTGTTGGGCGACCAGCCGCTCGTCGATAAGCGTCCCCTTGAGGACGGGCAGCCGCCGCCCGAGGCCAAGCACCCCCGCGCTCCCAAGGCCCTCCCGAAGGCCCTCCCGCCGGGATGGACGGTCCAGCGGCGCAAGGCGGTGGCGCGCTCGTACAACGTTTTCCACGGCCCGAATGGGGAGCGCGCCGTCTCCATCGCCGACGCGTGGCGCAAGGACCAGGGCATTCCTCCGTCACCGCCGGCGCCGCGGCCGCCGCCGCCACCGGCCGTAGCATCCGGAGCGGGACGGGAGCGGGAGCCTGGCGACGGCGGCGAGCCGCCCCGGAAGCGGCGCTCGGGAGGGCGCGGAGGCACCCGCTCGGGTGGAGGGGTGGTGTGGGAGGAGTGCACCGAGGTGGGCAAACCGCCGCCGCGCGCAGCCTCCGCCTCCGCCGCCACCTCGGTGCGGGCAGCTCTCTCCGTCAGCGGCGGCGGCGGCGTGTCGCTCACACTTCGCGTGTGCTGCGCCAGCCCGAAGGCGCTCTGACCCTCCCCCGCCGCCGCCGCCGCCGCCGCCGCCGCGGCCATCCTCGCCGCCACCACCTCCTCCCGCACCGTCGCCCTCATCGCCCCCACGGCCTCACCGCCCATTCGGCCCTCACCTCACCCCTTCGCCACTCTCGCCCTCACCGCTCTCTCCGCCGCCCTCGCCCTCGCCGCCCGCAGGAGGCGGCCGCGGCGGCGGCGAGGAGCAACCGGCAGAGCCGGCAGCTGGCGGCGCTGCAAGACTACCTCCACAAGGGCCGAGCCGACAAGTGCGCCAACGAGTCCCTCGCCTCCGTCGCGGACCAGATTGCAGAGAAGCGGCGCGCCCCCCCCTTCAAACCTGCCGCCGCCTCCTCCTCCCCGCCCCTCCTCCTCCTCCCCTGTCCGCCTCTGCAACCTCGCCAGCGCGCCTCCTCCTCCTCCTCTCCCTCCTCCTCCCCTGCCGCCTCCCTTCCCCCGCTCCCTTCCCCGCACCGCCGCCGCCTCCTCCCCAGCCCGATCCCGCCTCTCTCCTCCCTGTCCCCCCCCCCCCCTTTTCCGGCCTTGGCTTTTTTCTTCCTGGTCCCCCCCCCCCCTTCCCCTTCTTCTTCCCCCCCCCCCCCCCATCCCCCCCCTCGCCTCCCCAGCAGGCGCGGCGGCACGGCCATCCAGTGGGGGTGCGTCTGCGCGGGAGGCGTGCTACGCGGCGGTGCCGAGCTGCAGTGCCGCTCGTGCGCCCTCACCTTCCACTCCAAGTGCGAGCGGCTCGACTACACACCCGCGGAGCTCGCGCGCTTCGCCGCCGACAAGACGTTCCTTTGCTCGTCGTGCCAGCAGCAGGAGCTGCAGCGCGCGGGGTACGACCCGTCGGCCGGCCGCTTCGTCTGGCAGTGCCAGTCGTGCACGCGCTGCTTCGAGGCGGAGGAGCACCGCACCGCCGAGCGGCACGGCGCTCGCTGTGCTGCAGAGCTGGAGCGCCGCGAGTGGTCCTGCGTCTGCGCCGACCCGAGGGCGCGCAAGGCCCTCGCGACAGAGTGTGCCGACTGCGGCCGCTGGTTCCACTACGGGTGCAAGGCGCAGTACCGCGACGGCGGCGCGAAGGACCGCTGCATCGCGTGCGAGGACGCGGCCGACGACGCCGACGCCGCGGTGGCGGTGGCTAGCTGCTCCAAGACGTGCCAGAGATCTGCGGTAGGAACATAGGAGAGCGGACTGGGACACGGAGGTGAGCTAGTGCGCGCCGACGTGGCTACTCTCGTGCGCCGGCTAGAGACGGCGAAATGAAGAGGGGACCGCCCCGTGTAGGCCATGGCCGCAGCGCCGCCGCAGCAGCACCGTCGCGCGACGGCCGCCGCCGCCGCCTCCGCGGTGGCGGTGGCGGTGCGCGGCCGCCAGCCGAGGGACGAGGCGGCGGCTGGCGGCGGAGGGGCTGGCGGCGGAGGGGCTGGCGGCGGAGGGGCCGGCGGTGCAAGGGGCGGCGGAGGGGGAGGCGGCGGAGGGGGGGGCGGGGCGGGCGGGTATGGGACGGAGGGGCGCTGCCCCCTCGCCGCGCTCGGGCACCGCGAGGTCGGGACGCTGGCGGACGGGCGGGTGGAGGTGCGGCCGTCCACGCTCGGCGATCTCCCCGTCTCTCCCCATCTCTCCCCATCTCTCCCCATCTCCCCCCATCTCTCCCCATCTCTCCCCATCTCTCCCCATCTCCCCCCATCTCTCCCCATCTCTCCCCATCTCTCCCCATCTCTCCCCATCCCTCCCCATCCCTCCCCATCCCTCCCCATCCCTCCCCATCCCTCCAGGTGCGGCCATCCACGCTCGGCGAGGCGGCGGGGCTCGGCCTCTTTGCGCGCGAGCGCGTGCAGCCGGGCGAGGTGGTCTCGACGTACCACGGCTCGCTGCTGTACAAGGAGGAGATGGCGCCCGAGGCGCCCGCCCCTGCCGTCGTCCCCGGACACGTCCACGACGCGTCCACGACGCGGCCGCGACACGTCCAGGACACGTCCCATGACACGTCGCCGCAGGCGGACGCGTCCTACATCGTCCGGCTGCCGAACGCGGGCGGCGCGCTCGTCAACGGCAAGCCGTACGCCGACGCCATCCGCGCGAACCCCGCCAACCCGTCAGCGGACGGGTGCCACGTGCCGCTGGCCGGCGCAGCCGCGTGGGGCTTCGGCGCGGGCGCGATGGCCAACGACCCTCGCGACAAGCGGCGCACGAACGCGCTGCTCGCCTTCGTCAAGCCCGCCGCCGTCGGGAAGGCCGTCGCCGACCTCGCCGTCGTGCGGCCGGTGCTTCTCGCCACGCGGCAGATTGAGCCCGGCGAGGAGGTCTTCTACTCGTACGGCTCGAACAAGCCCTTCGAGCGGCTGCGGCAGGCGCTGCAGGCCGCGCAGCAAAAGGAGGCCAAGGGCAAGCAGATAGGCTGCAAGCTGGTGTGGCGTGAGCACGGCGTGATTTGACCAGAGCGCGCTCTGCCAGCGGTGAACGGGAGGGGCGCGGCGGACGAGCGGTCTGCCAGCAGCCGCCCCCCACGACGATGGTCAATACGCGATAGCCCGATCGATGAGCTCTAACGTCTTGTACCTATGTGTACGCTGTGGGAGGGGCGTCGGGTAAACGTACAGTTTCGCATGTGTCGTATGAGTTCGTTATATTCTTCCCTTACAAAACTCTTCGGCCGACTTGCCTCCTTTTCCTTAGAGACTGAGAGAGAGGATGAGAGGTTGTGAGAGCGCCTCACACCTCAGTGCTCAGAAAGCACAGAATGCCTGCAGAAAGATGTGAAGATTGAAGTCCACAATCTCCAAACACCAAAGCTTCGGCCTTCGCCTCGAGGCTTCTCTCGCGTACGTACGATCGTATACTTGTAGCTTAATGCGGCATACGTAGAGCCGATTTGAGTTGCTCTCGAATGCCGGTCCCGGAATCGATGTGCATCTTCATCGGCGATCTGTATCTGTATCTTGACCTTGATCTTCGATCGTCGGCTCTAATGGGGAACAAGGGGAGAGGGGCTCTCTCGCGCGGACGTGTATGGTGTAACCTCCACGCCTGGCCTCGCGCTTTTCGCGTCGTCGGCGAGGACAGGTCCCGGCGGGCCGGCGGCTCGTCCCGGGGGTCTCGCGCGTGCGTCGAGCGCTCGGAGATCCAGGCACTACGGTCTACGCGCCCCCTCTTCGGCAAAAACACCACACAACAGTGTGTGGCACACTCCACGACCCCTAAAATCTCCAACCGTGACGGACGGTCCATCACACTGGAGCAAACGCACCCTCTTACACCACCCCAAGAAGCGGCCGCAGCCACCCGCAGATGCGCTCATCCTTGACGACCGGAGCGATGGAGCGACCACCCGAGCAGTGAGCGAGTCGAGCGGAAGCGGGCAGGGCTCCGCTAGGAGCAGCCCGAGCGCGTCACCGCGGATGGCACGCCTCCGCCTCCCGGGGCGGCGGCCGAGCCGGAAGTTGGCTCTGCCACCAGCCTGTGGGTCGTCAACTTCTTCAACCGCGTCGCCCGCCGCGCTCGTGCCGAAGCCGCCCTCCTCGCCTCGATCCCCCTCCTCCCCCGCGCCTGCTTCGCCGCAAGCCCTCGCCACGCCGCCCACGTCGCCGGCGAGCTGCGGGCCAGACGCGCCCTTTGCCCTGGTGCCAAACTTTACCGTCACATCGGTCATCGCGAGCGCCCGGTGGCCAACACTTTCTTTTCTAACCGTGCCGATGAACCGATGTTGGTGTAAAGCCTTTAAACCAAAACTTTAGGCTAAGCCGTACTAGTTTGTGCGCGAGACACACACACAGTCCACACACCCGTGTCCCAGCATGAGGGGCGTTGAGGACAGAGGACAAGAGGAGGCGGGCGGGCGGCGGCGTGCTTGGCGAGGGAGCGGCGGCGGCGGAGGCGGCGAGGCGGCGCGAGCGGCGGCGCGGGGTGGACATCGCGAGAACAAGAAAAACGAAGCCATGTTTGGGCGCCTTTCGCCCTTCTCATCACTGCCCCGGCGCCCACGTCTCGATCTTCTTCGGCAGCAGCTGGTTCGACTCGTCCTCTCCGTGGCCTAGGCAGGCGTCTTCGCCCTCGCCCCAGGTAAAGACGGCGCTGTCGGCGGTGACAGCGATGCTGTGGTAGCCTCCCGCCGAGGTAGCGACGACGCGCTGGCCAGCAAAGGCCTCGACCATGTTCGGCAGCAGCTGGTTCTGCTCGTCGCCGTGGCCTAACCGGCCAAAGCATCCCCAACCCCAGCTCCAGACGGCTCCGTCGGCGGTGAGGGCGAGGCTGTGCGCTCCTCCAGCCGACACGGCGAGGACGCGCCGCCCAGCGAACGCCTCGATCTTCTTCGGCAGCAGATCGTTCTGCTGGTCGCCGTGGCCCAGCCGGCCCCAGCCACCGTGGCCCCAGCTCCAGACGGCTCCGTCGGCGGTGAGGGCGAGGCTGTGCGCTCCTCCAGCCGACACGGCGAGGACGCGCTGCCCAGCCAACGCCTCGATCTTCTTCGGCAGCAGCTGGCGCTGCTCGTCGCCGTGGCCCAGCCGGCCCCCGCCTCCATAGCCCCAGCTCCAGGCGGCACCGTCGGCGGTGATGGCGAGGCTGTGGAGTGCTCCAGCCGACACGCTCACGGCGCGCTCGCCACCCAGCGGAGAAGGGAGGCGGGTCGGCGTGTTGAGCCGCGTCACGCCCTCACCGTGGCCGAGGAGCTCTTGAGCCGAGCCGCACGACGAGAGCCGCCCCTCGCCGTCGATGAAGACGCTGTGCCGGTCGCCTGCCGTCGCCCTCGCCGGCGGGTTGGACTTGCACAGCAACGCCGAATAGCACAGCCACCGCACGGCGCAGCCCTCGCCCTCTGGCTGCGCCGGCAGCTGGTAGCCGCGTTCTTGCGCCCACAAGCGGATGGCCTCCACCGCAAGCGAGGCGTGAAAGACGAGGGAGACGGCCGTGACACGAGCGATGTCGGCGGGGTCGCAGCGAGAGAGGGCGCGCACGAGGAGGTCCGTGGGGAGGTCGAGGAGGCGGGCGGGCGGCGGCGTGTCTGCCGAGGGCGCGGCGGCGGCGGCGGTGGCGAGGCGGCGCGAGCGGCGGCGCGGCGGTTTGGACATGTATCGCGAGAAAAAGAATTTTATGTTTTGTGCGAGAAAAAGAATTAAACACAACAACTCTCGCTCACAGCAGACAGGCTCGACACAGGTGCGAAAAAGAATCAACGAAGCCGGAACCTTGGTGCTGCTCCGGAAAGTGAGAAACGCCCGGCAAACCTCCCATACGCGTGTTTGGTCGCTCCTTTCCTCGGGCTGTTCCACCTCCTTCCAACCTAGGCGGGGCGAGGGGGCGCGCGGGCGCGGGGTGCGGTACGGTGTGGGTGTGTACGTGTGATGTGACTGCAGGAAGTGACCATCCGTTTGTATTAAGGTATTAACAACGAAGGCGCTCTCAAAGAATTTCCAGGCGATTTTTTCGAGGAAACTCTGTTGGGTAGGCTCCGCTTGCCATCTGGGGGCGATGCGGGCGCGGGCGCCGGAGCCCACCCTAAATAGTAGGGTGGTACCCTACTTCGAAGGGGAAGGGCGTAAATCCGGGATCCCCTTATTGTCTCCGATGTGTCGCGCCTGCGCGCTCGGCGTGTATGAAATCCATATCACCCCCTGGCCTCGGGAGGGCGGCGGCGGCGGTGTAGGGGCGGCGGCGAGCTCCCGGTGGCAAATACTCGCCTCACAGTCCAAGATGGCGGCTCGCGTCCCCGGCCGTGCTCTGGCGTGCCTCACTAGTCCCGCCTGCCACCCAGATACCGAGGGCGGCGCGCACTCTTCGACTTGGGCTATTATCTGGCCTCGGGAGGGCGGCGGCGGCGGTGTAGGGGCGGCGGCGAGCTCCCGGTGGCAAATACTCGCCTCACAGTCCAAGATGGCGCGGCTCGCGCCCCCGGCCGTGCTCTGGCGTGCCTCACTAGTCCCGCCTGCCACCCAGATACCGAGGGCGGCGCGCACTCTTCGACTTGGGCTATTATCTGGCCTCGTTAGGGCGGCGGCGGCGGTGTAGGGGCGGCGGCGAGCTCCCGGTGGCAAATACTCGCCTCACAGTCCAAGATGGCGGCTCGCGCCCCCGGCCGTGCTCTGGCGTGCCTCACTAGTCCCGCCTGCCACCCAGATACCGAGGGCGGCGCGCACTCTTCGACTTGGGCTATTATCTGGCCTCGGGAGGGCGGCGGCGGCGGTGTAGGGGCGGCGGCGACTTCGTCGCTTTCACCGCGTTTGGATGCAAACTTGTGAAATTTTCAGTGAAACGGGGGCGGCCGAAACGTTTCATGTGAAATTCACATGAATTCACATGTGAAAGTGAAAGGGTGAAATTTCACTCACGAACCCTGGCCGCGCCCCGCCCGCCCCGCCCGCCCCGCCCGCCACGACCACGCCCCCCTCTCCCCCCTCGCCTACCGACTGCCGCCGTGGCGCCCACGGGCTGAGCCTGGGGCGCGGGGCGCGGGGGCGGCTGGTGGACAAACGTCGTCTGCGCCGCCACCAGCCGCCCAGTTGCGGCGATGGGCAGCGCCGCCCGGGCAGTCTCGACCCGCCTACGGCGTTGTGGTGATGATGGGTATGTGAGCGACCTTCCAGAAGCGTCGCCGCGCGCCGCCATCGCCCGCCGTGTGCTTCTTTGCCGGTGAGCGCGCGACGCAGGCACCTATCGTCAGAGGGGGGGAGGGTGAAGCGCGAGCGTTTCGTCGACCTAGGAGCCGCGGCAAGCGGCATGTAGCCCACTGATAGCACCTACTCAGGCCTAGACCGGTCCCCTTCCGAGCGACGAGTCGCAGTATCGGCTCTGAGACGAGGGTTTGGGCTCCGCGATGGGCAGAGGCGATATGTGCTGCAGGCGATCATGGCCACAAAATGCACATTTTTGGGTGGAGTTTGCTTGCCACCACCTCGATGAGGTCACATGGACCACCAAGAACTGGCACGGGCTGCAGATGCAGCGCTTGTCTGTCGTTCTCCACGCCGCCGTGGCGTGGACGGTGAACGAGCTAGCGTGCGGGGAGAGCGGCATTGTGCACGGCGCTAAGTGCATTGCCGTGCTTACCGGAGTCGCTTAGGCGGCTCCGGTTGCATTGCCTGTGATAGTGCTAGCACGCGCCAGTCCGCACCTGTGTCGAGCCTGTCTGCTGTGAGAGGGAGTTGTTTTGTTTAAATTCTTTTCTTCAGGTTTGAGGTTACCGACTGCACTCCAAGTGCTCCAAGTTCAGGCATGAAAAACTGTGTCGCGCTCACGCAAAGGTGGCACGCCCGGTGTGATTGCGACGTGACAAGCAAGGTGACAAGCAGCGGCTTTGTCGTTGCACGTCAGGGCGGCGCCGCGCCTGTCCCCGTGTGAAAAGGCACGGGACTGAAAAGAAAAGAAAGTACCTATTAAAATCGAAAAAAGAAAGAAGAAAAGCAAACCAACAGCAAACAAACATCGGCCGTCATCATCCGGCACAAGAAACCCTCAACAACGCAAGTCACGTCAGGTCAGTCTCTCGGTCCCCACGGGCCAGCCACGTCTCCGCTCTCCCGGCGGCGTCGCTCGTCTCGTGTCGGCGAAGGCATGGGCTTACGGGCGAATCAACGCCGCGCCAGAGGCCCGCTGCATTCCATTCGCCCGCTTCTTTCGGATCGGGCCGCCGCTCATGGGGCCCTTCCCCACCCGCTCCTTCGGAGCCGTCGGCTGCTGCCTCCGCGCGTGCTGGCGTCGGATGGCCGGCGGGCCAAGCGGGCCCGCCGTGACGAGCGCACCGGGTCGCACCGCCCTGTTCCGGCCGCTGGGCGTCGTGGCGCGCGGCAGCTTGGCCGCGGCGCCAGGGACGAAAACGGCCGCGTCAGGGTTGAGCTGCGAGCCGTTGCTCGGAGCGGGCTTCTTGAGGCCGCCCTTGGCCTTGCGCTCCTTGATCAGGTCGTCGAGGGAGATGGCCATCGCGTCCTCCCTGACGACGATGCGAGCCACAGACTCCGCGAGCTTGGCGCGGCGCTTGCCGCGCGAGGCCGGCGGCTTCTTTGGCAGCTCGACGTAGTCGAGCGCGCGGCAAGCAAAGCAGCTGCTCTCCGTGATGGGGAAGGCCGCAGCGGCCGCCTCGAGAAAGGCGTCCCTCTCCGACCGACTCACCTCGGAGAGCGAGCCGACGTCCACGTACTTCTCGTCGCGCCACTCCTTGCCGCGCGGCAGCAGCCAGCGGATGCGCTCGAGGCCGTCGTGGCTCTTGAGCGAGACCACGACGCGGAGGCGGCCGCGCGGGCTCGCCTCCCATCGGACGAACCGGCCCTCGATGGCGTCGGAGGCGGCCTGGCTGCCAGCCTCGACGGCGTTGCTGATCTCGTCGCGCGTGTAGACGTGCAGCCCGCCAATGAGTGGGATGTGGAAGGGCCGCGTCTGATCCTTCTCAAAGGGCGAATTAGCGGCAAAGCGGTCGGCGGCTTCCGCCAGCGCGGCTTGCGTGGCGTCATCAAAACTGGCACCGAGGTAGGGCATCGTTCCTGTGGCCGCGCAGGTTGCGAGTCTGTCAATCCATCGGTGCGCGCAGAAGACTGGGCGGGGCGGCGGATGCTTCTTCGTGGAAGGCTTCGAGCCCTTGCGGCATGCAGCGGCGGCAGCGGCGGCGGATCACCCGAGCGAGAGACAGGGCCACAAACTGGACGTCCAGGTCGGCGGAAATAAAAAATCGCCATAAGGGAAAATGTGGTTTGGGATTTGGGCTTGGCAACAAGAAAGAGAAGAGAAAGGTAAAGCTAGAGAAAGAAAGAAATAAAACGGGGTACCAAACCAGGGTGTGTTGAGAACCTCACAGGATTTTGGAAAAGGAGGGGAAGGGGCGCGTGGAAGAAAAACAGCGCGACGAAAAAAGAAAAGCTGCGCACATATGGCGGTGGACTTCCCTCCCCGCAGGCTCACGGTCGTCGTCCTCACGGCCACGCGCCGCCGCCCGGAGCGGGCGCCGCTGCTGGAGCGCGCTGTCCGCGCGGCGGCGGCGCAGCGCGTCTCCTCGGCGACGGCACTCGAGGTCCTCGTGCTCGACGACGGCCCGGACGCAGCGGGCTGGCCGTACGTGCGAGCCGCCGTCTGCGGCGTGGATCGAGCGCGGCTGTGCGGCGCCGACAGCGCCGTCGCGGAGGGCCACGTCGCCGTGCGGTACGTCGCCGTGCCTCCAGACGCGTCGGGCCGCGTGTGCCTGCGGCTCAAGCGCAACCTCGCGCTCGAGCTGTGCAGCTTGTCGGGCACGGACGCCATCCTCTTTTGCGACGACGACGACTGGCGCTCGGCCGACGCGGCGCAGGCGCAGCTCGACGCCCTCGCTCGCACCGGCGCCGACGCGTGCTCCGTGCAGGTGCGCTGCGTGTGCGAGCTGTCCGCCTCGCGCGGCGGCGCCTCGTACTTTGAGATGCCGGCGGCGGGAGGCGGCGGCGTCTTCTCCGCGGAGCTGGGCAACCCC